GCTCAACCCCACCTATGAGCGCTCGGATTGGCCGAAATGTGCACCTGCTTGCACAATGTAAACACGTTACCGTTACTTCAAAATTTGTAATGTTAAGTCGAAACCATGGGGTCCTCTAGGTGGCGAAACGTTAACCTGAAAAACCGTGAACCCAATGTTACTGTTAACCGAGGCACTACTATATTAGAGTATTTAGCTGCTATGCATTTCCACATGACGATAAGCCACTTAGTTCAGCTAACATTTGTGGCCAGGTCGCTTCTGAAAAAATCCACGTGGCCACGGGGAGAGAGAACACACAAACTCGACATATGGAGCAGGCATCATCAGGTTCGAGATCGAACCCACGACCTCCTGTATACCAGGCGAAAGTAGTTAACATCTCCTCGCCAATTAATGTGGCAGATTGGGTGTAAAATGGCGAGCTTTCTGGTTACGAGGCAGGGCACAACTGTAGCTTCTCGAGGTCAGATTTTCAGCAGAACATATTTGAGAGTTGATACATACACTGCTCGAACCATTGAATTGTTTGAATTCTCATTGGGTTGTGTTCTCACAGCTGTGCGCAAACTGTCACGACTCCACACAATGAGACACTCCGCTCAGGTGAAATAAATGTTTTAACCGTCCGAAATCTGTCCACCCTAGCATGCTCGTCATGTTATCTTATCTTAAAGGAATTTATATAGCACCTTATGCAAGGCGCTTTAAACAGAATTAACAACGGTACAGTGAGGGAAAAAAGTATTTGATCCCCTGCTGATTTTGTACGTTTGCCGACTGACAAAGAAATTATCAGTCTATAATTTTAATGGTAGGTTTATTTGAACAGTGAGAGACAGAATAACAGCAAAAAAATCCAGAAAAACGCATGTCAAAAATGTTATACATTGATTTGCATTTTAATGAGGGAAATAAGTATTTGACCCCCTCTCAATCAGAAATATTTCTGGCTCCCAGGTGTCTTTTATACAGGTAACGAGCTGAGATTAGGTCCACACTCTTAAAGGAAGTGCTCCTAATCTCAGGTTGTTACCTGTATAAAAGACACCTGTCCACAGAAGCAATCAATCAATCAGATTCCAAACTATCCACCATGGCCAAGACCAAAGATCTCTCCAAGGATGTCAGGGACAAGATTGTAGACCTACACAAGGTTGGAATGGGCTACAAGACCATTGCCAAGCAGCTTGGTGAGAAGGTGACAACAGTTGGTGCGATTATTCGCAAATGGAAGAAACACAAAAGAACTGTCAATCTCCCTCGGCCTGGGGCTCCATGCAAGATCTCACCTCGTGGAGTTGCAATGATCATGAGAACGGTGAGGAATCAGCCCAGAACTACACGGGAGGATCTTGTCAATGATCTCAAGGCAGCTGGGACCATAGCCACCAAGAAAACAATTGGTAACACTACACCGTGAAGGACTGAAATCCTGCAGCACCCTCAAGGTCCCCCTGCTCAAGAAAGCACATATACATGCCCGTCTGAAGTTTTCCAATGAACATCTGAATGATTCAGAGGACAACTGGGTGAAAGTGTTTTTGTCAGATCAGACCAAAATGGAGCTCTTTGGCATCAACTCAACTCGCCGTGTTTGGAGGAGGAGGATGAATACTGCCTATGACCCCAAGAACACCATCCCCACCGTCAAACATGGAGGTGGAAGCATTATGCTTTGGGGGTGTTTTTCTGCTAAGGGGACAGGACAACGTCACCGCATCAAAGGGACGATGGACGGGGCCATGTACCGTCAAATCTTGGGTGAGAACCTCCTTCCCTCAGCTAAGGCATTGAAAATGGGTCGTGGATGGGTTTTCCAGCATGACAATGACCCAAAACACACGGCCAAGGCAACAAAGGAGTGGTTCAAGAAGAAGCACATTAAGGTCCTGGAGTGGCCTAGCCAGTCTCCAGACCTTAATCCCATAGAATATTTGTGGAGGGGGCTGAAGGTTCGAGTTGCCAAACGTCAGCCTCGAAACCTTAATGACTTGGAGAAGATCTGCAAAGAGGAGTGGGACAAAATCCCTCCTGAGATGTGTGCAAACCTGGTGGCCAACTACAAGAAACGTCTGACCTCTGTGATTGCCAACAAGGGTTTTGCCACCAAGTACTAAGTCATGTTTTGCAGAGGGGTCAAATACTTATTTCCTTCATTAAAATGCAAATCGATTTATAACATTTTTGACATGCGTTTTTCTGGATTTTGTTGTTATTCTGTCTCTCACTGTTCAAATAAACCTACCATTAAAATTATAGACTGATAATTTCTTTGTCAGTGGGCAAACGTAAAAAATCAGCAGGGGATCAATACTTTTTTCCCTCACTGTACACACGGATGCGATGGTGGAGATGAGGTGAATGATATGGATGCGAGGAAGCAATGGGGGCAAATCTGTGATGCGTGGATTCGGTGAAAGCGAAATTGATGGCAGTAAATGATGATGAATGGTTTTAATGAATGAGGGTTAATGAGTGAAAGCAGTATAATGAGAATATGCAGAAGGAAAAGTAATTGTGGCGTTTATGAGGGGGAGATTGAGGGGGTCATTGGATGAGCCAAGGTAAATAAGTGAGTTTTGAGTGCGGAGCGGAAACGAAGTGGAGCGAAGGTGACTTTAATGTGGAGGAGGAAGTTTGTTCCAGTGAAGGGGGGCGAAAAGAGAGTGAGCGAAAGCATGGATTGAGTGCAAGGAGACAGAGCAACAGAGCGAGCATAAAATGCCTCCTCAAGTCACCTTCCGGAATCCGTTTGGTGGATGGAGGTGGCTAGGTAGTGACTGAGCGGCACACAGATTGTAAGACCACGTATGTATGTACGCACGTTGAACTTTGCTCACGCAGTATATAGCCAACCGTGCTAATCGGATGATGGGTGAGTGTGCGGGTGAGTGACTATGTAAGTGGGTGAGTGACCATGTGAGTCTATGTATGTACATATGTTGAACTTCGTTCGCACCGTACGTAGCCAACCGCACTAATCATAGGATGGATGAGTATGTGGGTGAGTGACTATGTATGTGAGTGGGTGATTGACTATGTGAGTTGGTGAGTGACTATGTGAGTCTATGTATGGACGGGCCTTGAACTTCATTTGTGCCGACATAGCCAACCGTGCGCCAATTGGAGGCGCACATCCCACATACCTGGGATGCGCACGTTCCGGATTAGGCTGTGGATCTTCAGCTCGTCCAGAACCGAGAGCCGCAGGTCTCCCAGCGGGTTCTTGTTCTGGAAGGTGGCGCTGTAATTTTTGAACTCTCCCAAGAGGCTGCTGGTCATCCACCAGCGCGCCACCTTGGTCTCGAACGGCTGTAGGTCCCCGAATAGCACCTGCATGGAGTTGGACATGGGCTCCGAGCCCAGGGTTGCGCCGATGATTTGGAACTTGACCAGGAGGCCCTTCTTGTTGGAAACAATCTCCGGCTGTCCCGAGGTGATCTCCATATTCCTGGCCACACCGTAGCCCTTGTTACGGATCGCCACGCCCAATGTGAATGGCACCGATGGTTCCACCGCATCAGTAAATGGGTCATCTGAATTCACAAATCTGCAAAGAGACAACGTGCAATAAAAAAAAATGAAATGGCAAAATAGGAAAAGAGGAAAATATCGTCAGTCGTGATCTGTCTGCCGCTGGGCTGGATGAAAGAGTCTCCAAGCCACCACCGACTCGATCCTGCGATGTAACAATCCACCAGCGCTCCATCCCCTAGCCCAGTGGTTCTCAACTGGGGGTATGTGGTGGACCCCTCGGGGTACGTGGCAATATCCCAGGTTTTAACGTGATGAGGTGATTTATAAATGCGTGAAATTACATCGTCTTTGGTAAATAATCACGTTGTATGAATCTGCCAATATAATTTAACTACGATAACATTTAAATCCATACAGTAACCTAGAACGATTTAAAAGATCTTTCTAAACGCAACGATCGTAATCAATGCGGGTTTCCAAGAGTAACCGATGAGCACGAGCAATTGATGTCGCACGTGCCAAGCGTCCGTTGAATATTTTTTTTGTATTCGCTCGCAGTTACTAGCTGGTTAGGATACCTTACAAAATTGACAATTGGTTGAATCGTGGACTAACCCTTGTGGCTGAAATATTTTTCCGAATGTCAAGAATTGTGAAATCTTTATAAAGTCATGCAGATGAAGAGGTCGTCTGGTAGCGTTGAGCCGGCACTGCAGAGATCCCGGTTTCAAATTCAGGTTTCAGTCACCTGAGTAACCTTTTCTCGTTCCGACAATGTACGTGTATGCATACGTCAGTTTTACCTTCCAATTCCGTTCTGATGACGTAATGCATTTACATAATCAGTTTTTCCTTCCAATTCCGTTCCGCATGTACGTCAGCTTTTCTTTCCAATTCCGTTCCGATGAGGTAACGCGTGTACATCATCAGTTTATCCTTCCGCTTTCGTTCCGATTATGTAATGCGTGTATGTCAACAGTTTTTCCTTCCAATTCCGTTTTGATGACGTAACGCTTGGATGTGATCAGTTTTTCCTTCCAAATCTATTCCGATAACGTAGCTCGTGTACGTCATCAGTTTTTCCTGCCGATTCCGTTCTGATGATGTAATGCATGTGCGTCATCAGTTTTTCCTTCCGATTTCGTTCCGATGATGTAACATGTGTGCGTCATCAGTTTTTCCTTCTGATCCCATTTCCATCACGAACGTGTATGTTATCAGTTTTTTTCCTTACGATTCCGTTCCGATGGCGAACATGTACGTCGTAATTTTATCCATTATTGGTTGGCTTATTCAAAGTAGTTTTTTTTTGTTCGTGTTAAACGACGTATTTAAAAAAAAACACAGTGGCGCTACTACTACTACGCCTCTCGATAAATAACATTAACGCTGAGAACCGTTGGCGCGTTTTGAGATTCAGCGGTGAATGGGACACCCACCTCACCCACCCTGGCAACTCTCAAGTGTGGTGAGTGGACGGTGACCAATGATTGCAACACACACAATTAAAAGGTCATGTTGGTTTAAGGGAAGCTAACGGCATTTTTTTTTCATAAAACATCCAACTGGCATGTAAATATCAATTTGACCGTCAAAGACAGAAATATCGACAGCGTATGGCAGATTGAACTGGAAAGTGGTGGCCTCTGCTACCGAAACCAGAGGAAACTTAAAGGGATTTCAGAGGTAGCTCTGTGATATCCGACTTCTTAAAGGGCCGTTCTCTAACACATGAAGGGTTGCAATTGTCCGGATAGTAACAATTTGGATGGAATTGTGGTAAGAAAAACATGTAAGCAAGATGGGCACCTCTCCAAGAAGTAATGTATGGTGAGTCTTGGATCAGGAGCAATGGTGATCGTCTCAGGGTACAGGGGGATCTCTTATAGGGCCGTTCTCTAACACATGAAGGGTTGCAATTGTCCGGATAGTAACAATTTGGATGGAATTGTGGTAAGAAAAACATGTAAGCAAGATGGGCACCTCTCCAAGAAGTAATGTATGGTGAGTCTTGGATCAGGAGCAATGGTGATCGTCTCAGGGTACAGGGGGATCTCTACCAAGGATCCACCTGTAACAGATCATACACGCACAAATAAAGACAAAAATCCCCCGTGTAGCCTTAACAGACTGTTGGGGCAAGTGCTGTTCGTATCGAGTAGCAGCGTCTATGAATGTCGGCACCGTGGCAGATGAAGGGGTGGGTGGCCAGTTCCACGCCCGGCCACATTTGTCTCCCAAGTAGCGATGTTTACCACTACACACCACTTCATCAGGTACTCATTTCAGGCCGAGTTCAACTAGGGGAAGTCCAGGACCGGTTTAAACAATCGTCACTGGTGTTGGTGGACATTAGCAGGAATCGAACTCACGCAACGCACTAACAGCTACACTCCCGCTCCATACACACACGCGCATAGACACACACAGGCACACAATCAGTGCAGCCAACGTTATTGCAATTAGGCTTAAATAAAGGTTTTTTTGGGGTTAGAGCGCGTAAATAATAATGTACCGTTCTAACCAGCCACCACTCGACACAGCCAATTAGAAAGGGTTTGTCCCGTAAACAGAACGTGCCAATTAGTTACTAGTTCAGCACTAACCAGTTGTGTGTTGGCAGAGTAAAACCAATAACTACAATATTTACAATTATAGTGTAGTATATAGTGTAGTGAATAATGTAGTATACTAGTTCACTCACCGGTTGTGTATTGGAGAGTAAAACCCGCTAAAATGTTTACAATTATAGTGTAGTGTATAAAGTAGTGTATAGTGTAGTATACTAGTTCAGCACTCACCGGTTGTGTGTAGGGAGTAAAACCCACAACTACAACGTGTACAATTCGGAGTAGCTGGTGACGTTTCGCCGGTGATTACAATAACAACCAGCCTCTTCAGGTGATTAGCAGGAATTGTGAAGAAAGCCTCCTGTTTCGCAAAGCGCCCTTACTGCATGTTAAACTGCAATTTGGCCTTGCAAAGGAAGCGTTTCATCTCCAGATAAAAACAATGTGGCCCAATTAGTGGGCAATCTTGACTCAGAAAATGCTTGCTGCATCACCATCGCATGCAGCTTATGCTGAGCTGATGTTCCAATGCCCTCCACCCAGAGCCCCACTTTGCAGCCCTTCTGCACAAACTTCTTCAACCATTCCCTGCAGTTAAATTACCATCGGGTGCTCTTCATAACTAATTGCAACATCTGCGGTGGCTGATACTTGCTCTATTTTGTCTGCATACGGTCGATCATTGATTATATCCGGCGGCTTTGTGGGGGCAGGGAAGGGGGGCGCCGGATTAAAAAAAAAACGCTGGATAATCACTAAATCATCATTATTTAAAATAGCTTATTTTTGCACATTCTTGCATGGCATTATGTTTTTAGGTGTTGTGTATGTTTTTTTGAGTGTTTTAAATATGCTTCCTATGTAAAATTGGCATAAATAAATATACAAAGACCAAAAAAATATCCTACTGTAAAAAGTTACTATTTACTGGACTGTACTTACCACTCTAATCTCGAAGACTCTGCATCACGTGGTGATGTACGCAGTACCACTACGCTCTTGTTTCAACAACATGATGCGTTTGACGATCGCCTGACTGGGTCACAAGCCTTTGGAGCATTTTTTTGTCCATTTTGCCAGATCGGTCCGGGACCGCTGAATAATGTTGGAAGCAGCTGGATAATTGCGCAGTGCCAGATAATCGATAATCAACTATATAACCTTTTATTTTCACCAATAATTTTTTTGTAAAGCTTTGAATAATTGTGGGAAAAAGTGCTTATAGATGTTTTAAATCTGGGAAATCTGGGACAGTAGAAACCCCCTTTTAACAACGGTAATTGGTTCCACGAAACCAGTCATTAAGTGATTTGGTCATTAAGCGAGTAAAGAAAAGACACGCTAAAGGCTTAATTTGTTCCGATAGCATCGAAAGTTACACGTACTTTATAATATTTAAACAATGGATATTAACACATAAAGATACTAACAACATTATAAACACAATATTAAAATAAACATGGTTAATCCATGCATTTAGTCATATTTACTGTACCCACAATGGCCCGTCGTTAAGAGGGAAATGGTCTGGAAGTGAACATATTGGGCTCTATGTAGGCATTCCACTACACTATACACTATATATTGGGCTCTATGGAGGTCCGTCCTTAAGTGATTAGTCGTTAACAGGGGTGGTCGTTAAGATGGGTTCTACTCTAATTTTCCCCAGTGGCTGCTACTGGGTAACATTTTAAGCAAGGTTTCTCTACCCCAGTCGTTCTTCACTAATTTTCAGAGTAGGGGGGTGTTGCCACTTTCACCGATAAGAAGACATAATGAGTGTGTGAGCAGGGCTGCCACACATTTGAAACCATTGGGTTGGGTTTGACAGCAGAACGATAATGATTGGGAGTGTTGTCACTCTTTGTGAACTGTGTGGTGGGGAGGGGGGCGCATGTCAGGGACCCGCACCAGTGGCCTCCGGGTAGCCTTGCAACAAATAACACTGAAGAACACCGCTATAATGAATAAGAAAGCAATGAGGAGCACAATGGAGAGCACAATGAAGATGAACACAAGAAGAACGCAATGAAGATGAACACTGATACAATAAAGAAGAACACAATGGAGCACACAATGAAGCACACAATGAAGAAGAGCACCGCTCTACCCTATCGCAGGTACGTTACCCAGCATGTAGGAGAAGAGGCCAGACACGTCGTACTGGGTGTCGCGCGTGGGCGCGGCCTCGCTGTAGGCGACCATGAGCCACTCGGCACTCCCTGAAGCCGCCGGCTCTAGCCGGCCGTCTCCACTCACGCCGCTCAGACCTCCTGACACCGCAGGGTTGCCTGCAAGTGAGAGACAGACAGCAGTTACGTTGCGTTGCGCTTCCAAGGCTCTGAAGAGATAGCTTCCAGTCTGGTGGGCCGCGCGTTCATTCCCACGTGCATCTACCCCAAATGCTCGTGCACGGTACAGGGAAAGCAGTGCGTGCGTTGGCACGTCGACGAATTATCGACAGGATCGGGAGAGCGGCCTTCATGTTCGAACGTACAGAGTTCAGATTCGAGGGGCAATCGCCGTCGCGTACCGATGGAGAAGAGGTGGTTGGACTCGGACTTGTTGTCGTGCCGCTTGATGGTGATCTTCACCTCGATGCTTTCGAGAGGGGAAGCCTCCTGGTTGGTGATTTCCAGCGTCGCCTTCACGGCCTCTCTGGTCAGGGTCAGCTTCTGATCGATTCTGATGCGCACCACGGCGCACACTCCCTTCTGCAGAACGACGACCAAAGACACAGAATGGGGCATCGGTCGCCCCCAGCGTCACGTCAGATAGCAATTATGAACGCTTTCCAACCGAGGACGCAGAGTGCGTTCACACCATCAGCTCTGCCAGTGTGTAGAATGGGGCTAGATAAGTCTCAACCATCTAGAGCAGCAATTCTTAACTGGGGGTACATGGCGGATCCCTGAGGGTAATGTGGCAATGTCCCAGGAGGTAACCTGATGAGGTTTTTTTTATAAATATGTTAAATTATATCATACATGAGAGTCACTGGTGAATAATCACGCATGAATCTGCCAAAATAAAATAACTACAATAACTTTATAATTAGTATGGTAACCTAGAACGATAAAAAACACCTTTATAAACTCACCAATCGTAAACAATGCGGGTTTCCAAGAGTAACCTTCGAGCATGAACAAATGACGTCGCGCGTGCCAAGCAACCATTGAATTTAGATTTTTATCCGCTTGCAGTTACTACTAGCTAGTTAGGATATAACCTCCCAAAATGGGACAATTGGTTAAAATATCGATGTTCGTTATTCGTGACATTTATGTCTTAGAACCACGTTGGGTCAGGCAAGGGTGAGGTAATAAAAGGTTGAGAACCACTGGTATAGAGCCCTGAGGCCGGGGGTGGAAATTCCACGTTCCTATGGCAGGTGAAAGTCTTTCCATAGGAGAGCCACCTGATGATTTCCCAAAAAAAGTGGTACTTTTTTTATCAACCCCGCAATGCTTGATGGGGCTGAGTCAACCCACCCCCATCAGAAATTTTACTTGGAACCTTCCAACCGCGAGCCGTCCGGGCTCCGGTTCTTACCCCCCCTGGTACGGAGTGGAAGGGGTACACCTTAAACCTTGTGATTGCATCTCGGGGTTAGCCGAGCGTGTTAACCGGTAATTCATTAACCCGTAACTCATTAACCTCATTCACCCAACAACGTTACCTTCTCCTCGGGCTTCTCCTCCAAGGCATTGTAGGCGACTTGGAACATCTCCGCTAAGGAAGAGTACCCTGCCTGTACGGCAAAGGAAAATGTAAGCACAATCATCATTACCCCCCAACAATCCATGCAACACCTCTCACATTAACTGTCCACGTTAAGGATTGATCGTAAGTCATACATATTTTTGTTTGGCCACATCGCAATCTGGACAAATTTCCGTCCTTGTGACCCCCTGCACCACCTGATGCAGCCAAACAAAATAAAATTGCCACACGTATGACGTGGGGTTCATGCAGACTTGATGCCTTGCAAAAAGGTATCTATTTGGTATTTGAAAATCGTATAACACCTATATTTCATTTCCACAAAGGGTATTAAAACTTATTCTTGTTTTTAATAATTTTTGATAATGGCAAAAAAAAAGTATCTCATAGATAAGTAATCAAGTCTGCATTAACCACACGTACTTGTGGTGAACATGCAAACAATCACACTGATAATATACTTGCACTCTTAAATTAATTGCCTACACCAGAGACAGCCTTCTTTAGGGCCTAGTCTCATCAATGTCAGACCATAGAATGCCAAAAGGCGAACAGCACAAAGGCAATGCACGATCAGCACATCTATAGCTCGGTGAGTAGCTATAAAAAAATTGGACCTTTTGCCAGTAGTATGAATAATGTATAGGTTTTAACCTTTCTGGCAAGGTAACAGGTGCTATGATGTTTGTTTGCATGTTCATCACAAGTACTGTGTGTGGTGAGTGAAGACTCGATGCCTGGCAAAAGGCATCTATTTGGTGTTTGAACATCTTCACACCTCCTGTTTTAATGCTAGAAAGGGTAAAACCTATTGTTATTCTGCATGAAAATTAAATTGTCAAGTTTTTTTTACGAGCCTTTCATGTGCCAACTACGATTATGCGTTCAGCTTAAAAGTAGAAAAAAACAATTTTCACAAATTAACAAATGAGAGAATGACGTTGCATTTGAGACAAAGGTCAAGGGTGCACCACGGTGCCGAGGAGATATTAACTCCCTTACCCGGTATGCAGGTCGTGGGTTCGATCACGACCCTGACTATGCCTGCTGTATATTTGAAGTTTGCATGTTCTCCCCGCGGTCGCGTGGTTTTTTCTCCGGGTTCCCCGGTTTTCCCCCTCCACATTTAGAAACAAGCATTTAGAGTACTCTTTGGTTCTTTCAGTAAAGTCACGTAGTTATAAAATAAAATAAATTAAATCAGGTGGGACAACCACAGCAAGAAACAATTTCTCAAATGGGCAAAAGGGCTGCCGTGACAAGAGGCTATATAGGCAAGAGAGGGGCGAAGAGCAAGGGAGGAGAGATAGAGAGGGGGGTGTGGTGTGGGGTAGGGGGAGTGGAGCGCTGCTAGAGGGATTAGAAGACTAGAAAGGCCGCGACTATGAATGTCCACGTGATAATAAGCCACTTCGTTGGAAGATCATCTGTGATAGCCAGGTTGTTTGTCAAAAAAGAGCTACATAGCAGCTTAGTTGGCCTTATCTGTCTTCTTTGGTTCTTTTGGTAAAGTCAGCGCTGTCCTCCAGACAGTCTCGTCCCTTCACCTGATGAAGGCCGCTTGTGTTGTGGCCGAAACGTCGTGAGAATATTATTGTGTTATTTTATTTTATCAATTTATTATTTTATTATCATTCTACATGACTTTACCGAAAGAACCAAAGAAGATGAATCCTTGCAGTCACGAAAGCTTTAAATCTAAATTTGGCCTTATCTGGTAAAATACAAAATAGTTTTAATAGTTTGGTATCGTAGCCTAGCAGTAACACGTACGTTGCTTACTGCAGAATAAGGAGTATTCTATTTTTGTGGTCTTTTGGTAAAGTCACGTAGATAGATTCAAAGAAAATAACAAAATAACAAAAAACTACGACTTTTCGACCGCTTGTGTTGTGATCGAATGGTCATAGTTTTTTTAGAACCTATCTACGCGACTTTACCGAAAGACCCAAAGAATATGAATTCCTGCAGTTACGAAAGCTTTAAGTCAAGATTTAAGCAGTATTCTTTTTTGTATTTATGTTGCTGTCCTTCCTCCCACACCTCTGATTAGCGCACGGTTGGCTACGTACGGTGGGTGCGAAACAAGTTCAACGTATAGTATATACAACATATTACATGCAGAGGTTCACAGTTCGGATCCAATGATGATTGCCGTGGGTGTAAATGGTCCCAACAACGCTCCACACAGTGGATGTTAACGATCCCCTGACGTCACATGCAAGAGTAGGCCATTTGTATGCCAGGGTCAGGGTAAAAATTTGTGAAGTAAATAAAGAAAAACGTAACCACATTATTAAACTGTGGTTCTACACATCAATAATTGTTTCTTTACTGGCAGGCTAAAGCCCCATGTCACTCTTGTAAATGGGACTATCCTGGTATCTTTTGGGTTCTCACCTGGTTAGACAAAATAAACTTGGTGCATCTTCAGGACAAGATCAAGAAGTCAGAATCATATCCAAGAAGTTAGAATAACCATGTCTCCCTGGCCCAACTTCTTAACGTGACATCATGGGAACAACAGATCGGATGTACACTAAATATTAACAATGTCAAATTAATTTATTTAAATTATATTGTAATTTATCTGGGCCAATTAGCATTATACACATTATGCATTACTACTCACTCATTATACTAATCTTTGGCAGGATAAGCGTTATGTTAAATGATACTTAACATAAATACCAGCAATGTTGTAAAGTGTGATAATTATTGAATACACAACCTAGTTCTTAATAATGCATCCAAGTAATTTTTATAACCACCTCTTCTGCCAGCTTGAGGTCTGTGACAACAGCCCGAGTGAGCTCGCTGTATCGTTGGTAGTCGATGAGGTTGGAGTGGTTTGCCGAGTCTGTGATGCCGGCAGCCCACAGCGAGTGGGTGTCGTTCCATCGCTGCAGGAACTGCTCCACCATGGCCTGGCTCACATTTCCTTACGGGATTTAAACAAGGACGCAAAATCTCACATGCATACATACACATACAAAACAAAGACAATTAGCCCACGTATAGCGTTAACATACTGTTGGGGCAAGTGTTGTTAGCGAGCACCTATGAAGGCCGGAATGGCATATGAGGGGGTGGGTGGCCAGCACCATGCCCGACCGCCTTTGTCTCCCCAGTGGCGATTATTACACACCATACCAGGTACTCATTTGAGGCTGAGTCGACCTTGGGGAGGCCCAGGACCGGTTCAGATAATCATCACTGGTGTTGGTGGCCGTGAGCAGGAATCGAACAGGTCGCCGGGTTCGTAGCGCATCGTAGCACTGCGTAGCGCTAACCGTTACTCCAACGCTCCCCAAACACATATGCATTATGAAAATGTCGTTAATTTCGTGAATTAAATCATGATTGAAAATGTCAAGGTATTTTTTATTTTATTTTAGCCAACGATTAATGGGTAAGTCCGGAATCTTCCAAGCTTGATGGCGACGTGCGACGAGGAGCCACAAACTACCAGAGCGGGACTATGCCGAAATGAAGGAGTCCCGAATGAAGACGAAGATCAAAATAACTCAGTCTTGGGCACCACGGTGCCTAGGAGATGTTAAATACCTCGCATGGTATGCAGGAGGTCGTCGGTTCACTCCTGACCCTGATACCTGCTTTATATTTGGAGTTTGCGTGTCTCTCTCCCTGTGGTCACGTGGATTTTTCTCCGGGCCCTCTGATTTTTCCCTCCACATTTAGAATCAACATCACGCGTTATGGTATTTAGCTGCTATACATTTCCACATGATGATAAGCCACTTCGTTGAGATATCATTTGTGATGGCCAGGTCGCTTCTGAAAAAAAGCTGCATATATGCAGTGGGCCTTACACCTAGTCAAATAAAAAAATAATAGTTTGGTATTGTGGCCTAGCAACAAAGTGGCTCATCATGTGGAAATTTGCTAGGTTCATAGGATGCAGCAACGGGACAAGCAGCATGCCACATGCTCATGTATGCTTTTATTGTGCTGTACCCATTTTTGGATGAGTGGCTAGTGGTGTGCTTACTTTGTAAGGCGATGTTTGTTTGTGCCGTATTTTGTGCTTGGTACCATAATTCCTATTAAATGTATTTATAGTGTAGTAGTGTCTAGTTTAGTGTATATTAGTTTGTGTGTGCGTTGAACTTATTTCGCACCGTACGTAGCTAACCATGCTAATCGGAGTTGCGGGGGGAAGGACAAACTAAACACAACAACAAGCAGTTCTAATGAAATGAGTAATCCATGGTAACGTTCCTGTGAATTTACTCATGTCCTATTTACCCATATCAGAATTGCACATTAAAGCACGCGACCTTACCTGGGGTAGGCATAGCTAGAATGTCTGAATGTTCAATGTCCGTGATGAGAATTCCTCCAGAGCTGCCGTCATCAATCTTGGGCTTGAAGACGTAGTTAAGCCACTTGGCGTCGTGCACATTCAGCCTGTACGTAAGAGGACGATGGACCCTCGGTTTCACGAAATAATAAGAATTTGTAACACACGCAAATTAAATTGCGTTCGTGTGTGTGTGAAAGTTTAACTTCTTTCACACCGTGTTAATCGGAGGTGCTGTGGAAGGACAATAAACTAAACACAACAACGAGCAATTATAAATAAATTAGTTTTCAATATAGATGATGTAAAAGTGCACAGCTCCAGTGGATTCCTAATACTGGAAGGAAAAGCGTTCCAAACCACCGCAGAAACAGCGCATCTGAAAGCGCCGCGCGATGATGCGGTGACCGATTTTGTTTGGTGGCTCGCCAAATCCGCTTCTGCTGCTGCGAGCATGACCGGAGTTCGCATGTTGGCTGAGTCTCCTTGATGAAACCAGCGAGGTATCGTGGTTCATTTGCGAAACATCCTATATGGGATACTTTCCAATGCAATGTAACTGACGTTTGCATCAGATAAATATATATCAGTTTGAAATAAAACTGATATATTTTAAAATATAAAGTGATATCTTTTTTTACATATCAAACTTATATATTTTAATGCTGAGAGCTGTGGAATTTCACCAATTAAAATGCGGACTCGAATTAAATTAAGATTCAATTCACGCGTGGACTTAGGGGCTGTCCATAAATGACGTCACGCGATTATCCGGTAGGTTCGGGGGCGCCGGATTTAAAAAAAATGCTGGATAATCACAAATCATCATTATTTAAAATAGTTTATTTTTGCACATTCTTGCATTATATGTTTTGATGTGTTGTTGTATGTTTTTTTTAGTGTTTAAAATGTGTTTACTCTATGAAATTCGCATAACTAGACAAATAAAATAGTATCCATAATACAAGTGTTTTGGGTTAGATGGCGTAAATATATAAATGTGTCAAACCCACCACCGCCTGACACCGCTGTACTTGTAACGATTTGGCATGTTCTGTTTACGTGACAAACCTTACTATTTGGCTGTGTCGGGTGGTGGTGGGTTTATGACACATTTATATATTTATACGCCATCTAACCCAAAAAACGTATAATTATGGGCGATATTGGTCGTGAAAGCCTCCTACATATTAAACAGACAAAAAAAACACGACTTTAAAAAGTTACTGTATTTACTGTACCGTACTTATCACTCGAATCTTGCAGATTCTGCATCATAGAGTGATGTATCGACGTGCGGTATCTTCATTGTTTAAGTTGTATGCAGTGTATAATGTACCATGTCATATTTAGCACTGAAATCAAGCGTAGCTGCTTGCTTTGTCACGCACTTCGTGCTGACTGCCAGACGAGTTACAGCCCTTTGGAGCGGTTTTGCCGGATCGGACTGGGACTGCCAAATAATGTTGGAAGCCGGATAATCGCGTGCTGGATAATTGATGATCCACCGTATTTCTCTTTCATAAGCGACCTGGCTATCACAAATAATAGCGCAACAAAGTGGCTGATATTATCATCATCATCACGTGGAAATGTACACTATAAATGTATGATGTAGATTATAAATGCGGAGGGGAAAAACCCGAGGACCCGGTGAAAAATCTACGCGACCACGGGGAGAGAGAGAGACGCAACTCCAAATATACAGAAGGCGTCAGGGTCGAGATCTAACTCACCACCTCCTGTATACAAGACGAGGTAGTTCACATATCCTAGTCACCGTGGCACACCAAAAGAGGCTGGATTGGAAGAATATACTTAAAATACAAACCCATCCACTGATGTGGAATGCAGATGATTAAATAAACCGAAAAGGCATTCACCATTCTTTATCGCCAAACACTTCGACGGCTAAATCCCACTGTCGTTCCATCGCCCTCAGTGAATCCGCCAGCTGGGCCAAGCTATCCTCTACAGCAGACCCACATGTCATCCTGGTGGAGCCGAGGCATTTATTTGGCGCGTCTCGAAGACACGACCTGCAAAAAAACCACAAACACAACAAACAAAACAAAGTAACGTGATGTGACGTTTAAAAAAAAATTGATGACGCGATGTGAAAGCACTTTCTCGGTGCTTTCACATAGGATTAAAATTCAGTGTTTTCAGTTTGACATCCCTGGGACACATTTTTCGTGTTTTGCCAAAGGCATGACGTATGGCTAATGCAGACTGGATGCCTTGAAATAGGTACGTATATGTGTTGTTTGAGCATCTTAACACACTACTCCTGTATTATGACCTGAAAAGTTAAAGGCTATTATTTATTTGCGATTACGTAGGCAGGCAGGTGATCATGGGCGCTTGTAATTTGTTTTCAGCCGTTTGTCCATCCACTGCCGGATGAAGGCCTGACCGCAACATATTACATCGATCACCTGGGCCTTATTTGACCAGACTAAACCAACGACGCATCGCGATGGCCGGCACCTTCGTCAGCCCTCCCAGGATGTAGTGAATTCTGCGAACTTTAACCACCCGTATTATTTTGCCAAGCGTTTTCCGATGACGATCACATTTACCATCTAAAGTAGTGGTTCTACACTATTTTTCAGAGTTGGATTGGGTGGGGGGGGGGGGGGGCACTCTTGCCAATAAGAAGACATCATCCGTGTCTGAGAAGGGGCCGCCACACATTTGAAACTATTTGGTTGGGTTTGAGAGGAGCACAATAATGATGATTGGGGGTGTTTTAACTTTTTGTGTATTGGTCGGGGGTTGGGGGGGGGGTGTGCGAATTTAAACTACAGTCGATTGTCGATTATTTGGTGGCTTCAGAGGGGGAAGGAGGGCACCGGATTTTCAAAAACACCCCTTGATCTCCACATCATCATTATTTAAAATAGCTTATTTTTGCACATTCTTGCATGCCATTATGTTTTAGGTGTTGTATGTATGTTTTTTGTGTTTTCAAATTGGTAACTATGTAAAATTTGCAGAAATAAACAAATAAATAGCCAAATCCTGTAAAAAGTTACTGTATTTACTGCACCGTACTTACCACTCCAGATAATCACCAATGATCATTTTTTAAACCAGCAAGTGTTTTCACATTATTGAATGACGTTATGTTTTAGGTGTTGCGTGCATGTTTGTTCAAACGGTGTTAACACCGGTGTTAACTGATTGGTCCACACCAGAGACAGCTTTCTTTCGAGCCTTGTCTAGTCTCAAACACCGTCTAGTCTCAAAAACCGTTTGAGACTAGGCTCAAAAACCGTTTGAGACTAGGCTCAAAAGAAAGCTGTCTCTGGTGTGGACCAATCAGTTACAAACACAATGCATATATTATCAGAGTATGTTTTTTGCTTACATTCTGACCACAAGTATTGTGGTTAATGCAGATATGATTCCTTGTAAAAGGTTTCAGATTGGTGTATTAACATCTTAAGACCTGTTTTGTTGCCAGAAAAAAAGGGGAAAACCTATTCTCATAATTTGGTACTGCCAAAGGAGGTCCCATGAAGGAGGAAAGCTACTGAATGCAGACTGTTTTATAGGGTGGAGTCCTCGGGTCATAAATGAAGTGGGCGGGGCCAGTGATGTTAATGTGAGAAATTATCATGTTAATGTAAGATCGCAGAGCCACCACGAAGCAGAGGTCGGCGTCCGTAGGTGGCCACGCTGGCGTGAGAAATTCGACCTGCTAATGTGAAATCAAAGAGCCGAAACCACGGGGAAAAAATCTGGCCACATGGCCGACCAGCTCTGAACCAATTCCTCAACCACATCTATTCCATACACCCAGCCATCAAATTCACCATGGAAGTGGAAAAGGATGGCAAGCTACCTACCATTCTTGGATGTTTTAATCAAAAAGAGACCAGATGGCTCAATGGGACACTGTCTACAGGAAAGCCACCCATACGGATGCCTACCTAAAACCTGACTCCCACCACCATCCATCCCAGAAGAATTCCCTCATCAAAACTCTACACCATAGAGCTCGATGAATTTCCAACCATCATCACCTAGCCAGTTAACTGGAACATGTACAGCAAGCTCTCAAGATGAATGGATATTCAGACTACACAATTCGTAAAGCTATCACCTCAGCTGTTGGGAAAGAACCATATGAGGACTCAATGAAAACCATCACCTTGCCATACATAGTAGGGGTCACCAAAAATATTTCCCAAATCATGAGCAAATACAAGATCCAGGTTCGATTTAACACAGTCCATAAAATTCGTGATCTAATCCCATCTGTGAAGGATGTGATCCCTGACATGCAATACCCCGGTGTCTACAAACTAAGCTGTGTCTGTGGCAGTAGTTACATTGGGGAAACTAAGCGACATGTCTCAGACCGTGTTTGTGAATATAAGGCAGATCTGAAGCATTGTTGGACCAATTCCTCAGCCATGGCTGATCATTGTTTTAATGCGGTGGGCTCACACGAAATTTATTTCTCTAAGACGAAGGTACTTTGCAAACTCACTGGCTATCAACAAAGATTCGTTCATGAAGCCATCCATATATAGACAGACACAATTTCAACAGAGAAAATGGGTACAAACTTAGCAATCATTGGAAGGACGTTATCAACCAGTTCAAGTCATAACTGGCTGTAATGTTTCCTTCCTGCCACCTGATTTAAAAACTAAAATTCCCCGTGGCTTCGACTCTCCGATTTCACATTAGCAGGTTGAATTTCTCGCGCCAACGTGGCCACCTACGGACGCCGACCTCTGCATTCCAGTGGCTCTGCGATCTTACATTGACATGCTACTCTCTCACATTAATATTAGCCACCTGCGAACTCGTTGCGAACGCCGCTCTCCGATCGTACATTAACATGCTAATTTTATTGCTTTATATATATTTTATGATTTTATTTTTTCCCTTCAACGTGACTTTACCGAAAGAGCTAAGAATATGCTAATTTATCACATTAACATTACTATCCCTGCCCACTTCCTTTAGGACCCTAGGACTACACCCTATAAAACAGTCTCCATTCAGCAGCTTTTCTCCTCTTTCCTCCTGATGACGATCGCTTGTGTTGTGATCGAAACGTCGTAGTTTTTTGTGTATTTTCTTTGAACCATCTACGTGACTTTACCAAAAGACCCAAAGAATACAATATGATTGTGTTTGTTTGATGATCGCCACACTGATGCGAATGTCGAATTACACACACTTCTTTCCAGATCACAATATGTGTATTTTCAGTTTTTTTTATTACCAAAGTTATTTGTCGTGAAAATGTATGAATACGTGCTGTATTTTCTTTGTTTAAGTTGTATGTAGTGTATAATGCACCGTCTATAATATTTAATATTGAAATCAAGCGTAGCAACTTTTTTTTTCATGCAAACGATGCCGATCGCCAGATTTGTAACAGCCTTTGGAGCGGTTTTGCCGTATCGGCCCGGGAGCCGCCCGATAATGTTGCAATCCGGATAATCGACGATCAACTGCAATTTAAAAAGAACAGTTTGGTTTAAATATTGCAATCGATATAAACAAAAAAACGGCAGACACACTTACGTGACGATGTCATAAAGCGTGCAGCCCACTTTGAGAATGGGGATGAGATCGCACGAACATCCGATAATCACATCCACCGAGTCTTGAACTGTGATTTTGTCCTTCTGCGCTAGCGATGCCACGTCGAGCAGACATCCCAAGCCTGGCAATATTTTGCCCAACAGTGACCTCTTTGCAACTGAGGGAGGGAGGAGGAAGGAAAGGAAAAACATATTTTTTTTAACTCCATTTGCAACACAGAAAAATAATGCGGTTAAAAACGTGAAGGCACCACCACTTACAAATATACCGCGGGTACTACTGACCTGGGGACTTTTCCCTTAAAGTGCCAGGTAAACAAAAGGCACCAGGTAAACAAAAGGTGCCAGGTGAATAAAAGGTGCCAGGTAAATTAAAGGCGTCCGGTAAACAAAAGGCGCCAGGGTAAACAAAACGTTTGTAAAGGCGCAGCCATGCATTTGTCTATATTTACACGCTTTTATTTAACTCTGTCTTTTGTTGTATCCTCAACTCTGTCTTTTGTTGTTGTATCCTCAAATCTTGTAACTCAATTTTAACCCACTTCCCAATGTCGTATCGACTGCAAACTTGTTATACATATGTCATACTGATGACAATACTACATTCTATAATAAAAAATATATATTTTTAAGCAATCTTTTTTATGTTATGTTTCGGCTTGGGTCTAATTGTCCACGCTCAACTCACGTTGAATCACCACAGTCCCTTACGTTATGGCAAGCTTCGGGGCCACTTCCTGGAGTCGTGGAGTTCTGCCATTACTCGTACGGTACATTTAATGAAATCGTGTCTTTAAAAAAAGTATTTTTTAAATATTACTTATTCCCCTCCACGTTGGTTGAGCTGCTATCATTTGTGATAGTCAGGTCGCTTCTGAGACAGAGCTACATAGTAACTCAGTAGTGGGCCTTACCTGTGCACAATAAACAATTGTTTTACTTCCTAGTATTTGGCTTTCTTCACGCCAACTGTGGCAGAAGAAGGAGAGCTCTAGCCCAGTGGTTATTCTCAATATTTTTATGGCTACTACAGTACTCCCCCCCCCGTGTTGAATTTAATTTCAACAGAGTAATAACCCCAACCTTGCCTGAACCAACACGGTTCTGAGAAACAAATGAATGACGAACATCAATTTTCTAACCAACTGTCCGTTTTGTGGGGTATCCTAAGTAGCTCGAACCGCAACCGAATGAAAACAAAATTCAATGGACGCTTTGCACGCGTGACGTCATTTGTTTGTTGTTCACTGGTTACTCTTGTAAACCAGAATTGTTTAGGATCGGTGGGGTTGTAGAAATGTCTTTGATATCGTTCTGGCAATCGGCACCGTGTGCTTGACAAAAACAGAGTACCTGTGCTTAATTTCACTGTTAAATATTATATGCAGTACATTATGCGCTACATACAACTAGAACGATGAAAATACTGCACGTGCATTCATCACTCCATGACGCAGAGTCTTTGAGATTGGCGTAGTAAGTACGGTACAGTAAATAGTCACTTTTTAAAGTATATTTATTTTTGTCTATTTCTATGTTCATGCCAATTTCATAGCGTTAACAAATTTAAAAACACTAAAAACCCCATAAACCATCAACCTACAAACATAACATCATGCAAGAATGTGCAAAAATAAGCAATTTTAAATGACGATTAGTGATTATCCGCCGTTTTTGAAAATACGGCACCCCCTCCCTCCCGAAGCCACCGGATAATCGATGATCGACTGGAGTCCTGACTTTCCGGTTGCCAGGGGCACGTGAAGGTAACCGATGGTGGATTCCCTGTTTCTCCCATTACCCGACCGCCCGTCAATCTCCAGGTTCATCGACGAAGTGTGGCGGTGGCCACCCCAAAGGAATAACATTTGCACTGAAGGCATCGCTGAAAAACCCCATCAGTTTACCCGGGTTATGTTGGGTGGAGTTCTGAGGAAGTTGCCGTTTGTTCCTGTTTTTATTGTCCGCTTTCAAATGTGTCGCTAAACCGAACAGGCTCTTTGTGCACTGGTACAGGGCTTTCTCACAACCCCAGTCGAATGCACAGCAGGGTATTTGGGTCGACACGTAGGCGTTCATTGACACGCTCGTCGAGCCTCCTGTGAAAAAACGCAAACAAGCAGGTTTTAGGAGCACGCATATTTTGTTGTTGTTGTTACAAACCATTCTCGAAAAAAATAAAAAAAAGATTGAACGTGCACATTCAACTCACGTCACTGACTGGAAGAAGTATCTCCAACTGCAGGGGGCACTAGAGAGGCCTTTTTTTTAAACAGTACGCTTTCGCACAGCAAATATTACCCATAATGAAGTCTTTGTTGTTGGGTTATATCGCGTTTAACGTGACTGTGTCATTAAACCCACTACCACCCAGACGCAGGCAATCAGTAATGTTGTGTCACGTGAACCGAACGTTCCAATTCGTTCCCACTTCAGCACTAACTGGACGTGTGTTGGAGAGTAAACCCGCGACAAACATTTACAATTTCGGTTCACGAAGTTTCGCCGGCGATTAGAACAACAGCACCTCCGATTAGTACGGTTGGCTACGCATATATTGTCCAATGGGTTTCTGCCGCTCGACAAATCAATCCTAAATCCTGACAGTTAAAACTGTTACACATTCCGAATGTTGATCCGTCTGTAATAACTGACCCAAAAAAATGTGCATATGTGTAACGTTTGATCTGTTTTCCTGACTTGAAACACGGAAAAAAAGCATACAAAAAACACTTGGCATTTGTGTGTGATGCAAAAAAACATCGGTAGCTTCTGAAGAGCTGTACTGTGCATTTATTTTTGCTGTTATTCAGTGTAGTTCTTGCAAAAAAGCATGGGTTTTTGCGAGTGGCATTGTTTTTCAGGGCTTTACCGGATTCGATTACGGGTGTGAAAGCGTTCAGTTATCATTTACCGTGCCCGCATGATGACGAAAGCCTAAGCCTCGCGGAACTCTGAGAGACTTGTAAATAGTGCAACATTACCACAATTCACTCAATACGTCAATACTTCCAGGGACGAACGAAAGCTGAACGGCCGTTATCATGATCCCACGCTGAGGCATGTTTTTGTTCTTCTTTCCAACTTGTTTCACCCATTAGAATTGTAAAAAAAATAAACAAGCCATATGTACCTCCTAGACCATAAAAATCAGCATAAGCCCCTCCTGAGATCACCCCTGTTGAGACGCCTACTGAGACATCTCCAGTGTCACTCCACAGAGTGCATGCTGATGCTTCTGCGATGAAGGCAACAAAAGCTACGCGCTCACTGTGAACACACAGAGACAGAGAGAGACAGAACACAGGTCAAATAAACCAGAGGTTATCAAACTCGTGGGTCGTGACCCCAATTCATACCTGTCAACCCCTTATCAGTGCATACATGTGGCACATTAGGAATGGACCACTCTTTTAATTATTTCCTTGTGCAGCAAGGGAGTAAAGTGTGGTTTTTTGAAAGTCCTTATGAACTGTGCAGTACATCGATGCACGTGTGTACACCAGCATGCGATAACGGAGTTGGGCCTCAAGGGGGCTGGCAGGGATATTGATTAACCGCACTTGTACACCAGTCACATGGTTAATGGCAACTCGGTTAAAGATTGCTGTGTGTGACACACGTGCTGTTGCATCTTACAGATTAACCACAATAAATGTGTTTGCAATCGATTTGGAGCACCTGACCACGTCCTTCATTTCGTGTGTGCAACATACATCATCACGGACCAATTCAGACCTTATTGGTCACCCCGTGCCCCTTATAAATCTCAACGTTTATTAACCTAAAATATATATTTCCCTGGACAAGAATACGGGGTAAACCTTATGGGTTGACAGGTATGCCACTGGGTTGGCTTGCGAGAGGTACTGGATGTTTGGGTGGGGGGGGGGTTACAACAAGAACACATCACGGCGAAACGTCAACGATGTTGTTATATTCCCATTTCACCAGGAAATAATGACCCGACGTTTCTTTGATGTGAAAGAACATAAACAAACAAGAGATGAGACCTGCTACTATACTTACCATTCATTAGAAATACATCACAATTCCCGTGTTTAAAATGCTCTGGTGCCAGACAGCTGCCACGGGCTCCAACTGACTGTCACCTCACCCGTGTGTAGTCGTTCTGGTGGTGGTGGTGGTGTGTGCACACTGCAGTCCTTCTCAACCTGTTTCACTCCATGGCTCGTCCCACATGCTTGATCTTCGCAGCTCACTGAACCAAAAGCTCACTGTGGGCCCGAGTGGGTGGGTGCGTGGGTCGGGTGGATGAGTTGCTATGTATTGTAGCTGGGAGAAAATTTACGATCTCCACGATTATTACTTATTTTAAAATCGGGAACACGGAAATCAAGAGGTGTTGCCGAAATCCGCACACTAATTTGTCCAAATGTGCGAGTATACATGCGGTCCCCGACTTACGAACGCCCAACTTACAAACTTCCGCACTTACGAACGAGCTTCCATGAGATATTTTTGTTACTTTTTAACCATCCGACTTGCGAACTGCGGAACTATTTAGTTCGGCAAATGTACAATATTTATTCTCATTCGTGAGTTTAACAACGCCTTCCGTTTTTGATGAGCCATAAACACATTTTATAACACACACTGTATGTGCATTTAAATGCAGTGTATTATTGTGTTTAGACTTACGAACCTTTCAACTATTGAACGGGTTCTAGGAACGGAACCTGTTCGTAAGTTGGGGGACTGCAAATTCATGTCGACGTGTGTCTACCTGTGTGTGTCTATGTGTGTATGTCTATGTGTGAGGTATTTGGGGAGAGGAAATCCCTCAGCTTGGAAAACATCATGGGGCAAAGTGGGGATGACCCTGCTGAGGATGCGGTGCCTAAAATATAATAATAAATAGACACCCCCTGTGAGTGGTTGGCTGAGTGCCATCTGTTGAGGAAGTATAGAAGGTGATCCAGAGATGATCTCCCTAGCTAAAGTCTGAGGGAGAGTAGCGTTTGTGCAGAGACTGCCCTACATGGCATCATAATAACAGTCTGGACCACTGGACGGGTTCCGCAGGATTGCAAAGATGCCCTGGTGGTCCGCCTCCATAAGAAAGGGGACCACACAGACTGTAACAACTACAGGGACATCTCTCTCCTCAGTGCGCCAGGAAAGGTCCCGGGATGGATTATTCAACATCGCCTTGCCAGGCATGCTGAGGAGAGGCTTGCGGAGCCCGAATGTGGTTTTCGGAAAGGGTGGTCCTGCATAGATGCCATATTTTCTATCCGTCTGCTATAGCAGATGTGTAGGGAACTGCAACATGACCTACATCTCTGCTTTATTGACCTGGTCAAGGCCGATGAGACCATTAGTAGACCTGGGCTCTGGGTTGTTTTTCACGCTATCGGAGTCTCGGGGCTCTGGGAGGCACTGCTGCTGAACCTGGAGCATGCCACGAAGAGGTTGGGCCTTACCATCAGCTCCACCAAAACTAAGCACCTGCCTGGGTATTTTGTGCCGTCAGGCACTCCACCCCCACAACTCCCAATTGATGATGCGGTAGTTGTGGAGAGAGTGGAGAGTTTTCAATACCTGGGCAGTGTGGTCATGACTGGTTTGACAGCAGAGGTCTCACTCCAAATCAGTCGAGCGGAATATTTTTTTTCGTCAGCTGCGTAACGCTGTGTGGAGGCTACCTGGTCTGTTGCTCCACACGAAGCTTCGGGTCTTCTCGGCCACGGTCATGCCCTCCCTTCTCTATGCTGACGAAACGTCGACCCACTTAATGGAACATCTTTGCTGGTTAAAAACATTTAGGCTGGCCTGCCTACATTCAATCTTGGGGTTAACTAGGCTGGATTGTGTGAGGAGCTCACACATCCTTGCAAAATCTGGACAAAGTCCCATTGATGAGCTCTTCCGGCAGGCAAGGCTGCGTTGCCTGGATTATGTAGCCTGCATGCCCAGCCACCGCATGCCTAAGCAGCTTTTGTTCTGTTGGATAGAGAGGGCTGAATCGACGCAGCAAGGGCTCGAGAAGGGATGGAGTGATGATGTACAAGAGGATGTGGTGCTGAGTGGATTTGCGAATGATTGGTACCAGCAGTGTCAAGATCGGACTCTGTGGAGGAGGCTCGTGAAGGACACTAGTGGGCAGTTGGAGGCAGACACCCTCCAGCAACAAGAGGGCAGAGGAGCGACACTGACAACGACGAGCGGAGTGCCGGGTGGCTAAAACATAGCAAGTTGGCACAGTAGGGGGCACAGGTGGTGCATCAACCAGTCATCTTAGTCAGTCGACCCATGGCACCTGGGTCTGTCCCGTGACCTCCTGCCAGCGGGCGTTCGACACTTCACGTGGCCTTAACGTGCACATAGCCTAGCACAAGCATCGTGGTGACGTCACCGCCACTTAGTGGCAAATGGCGCTTGTTGTTCTTGGGTCAACGTGTGTGACTACTTGTGCGTGTGTGCTCATCTGCTTTTATATGTGTGAACGTGTGCCTAGGTCGACGCAGCCTTAAATGAGTACCTGGTGTGGTGTGTAAACATTACGAATGGGCAGACAATGGCGTGTTATTGGCCACCCCCCCCCCCCCCCCCTTCGTGTGCCACAGTGCCGTCCTCCATAGGTGCTACTTGCTAACAACACTTGCCCCAACAGTCTGTTAAGGCTATACCGGCGATCTTTTTCCTTGTGTGTGTGTTTGTGGGGGGGGGGGGGGGGGGTCTCCGTGTATTGGTATACATTACCGAAGTTCACCACATACGTAGTAGTAGATCATTTGAGCAGAGTAACACGTGATCATCGTTGCCCTTTTACTTCTGGTTGTGGTTGAAACATTCACTGGAATGAGTACCGACGTCATGGCTTCTACATTCCCAATAGTGTCTATGATCTGCAACATAAAAATGCAACACGCATATAATAACGTCGTATGTTACATAAATGGCAAATGTATTAACCCTTTTATTCCACAACAGCCTCTTACCAAATCACCATGGATGCACTTCATCAGTGGTTATTCTCAACCTTTGCTAGCTACTGCTGTACCCACCTTGTTGATTTTTTATACAATCCGTGTCAGGTGGGTAGGTAGCAGAGCCCAGACGGCTCACGGTCGGAAAGTTCCAAATACAATTTCTGATTGGGGTGGGGTGGGGGGGTTTGACTCAGCCTCATCATGCATTGCGGGGTTGATAAAAAAAAGATAGACTTTTTTGGGAAATCATCAGGTGGTTGTGCTATAGATATAATTTAACCTGCCATACGAACGTGGAATTTCCACCCCTGCTTCAGGGCTCTATACCAGTGGTTATCAACCTTTTAATTGCTACTGCTATACTCCCCTTGTAGAATTTAGTTTTCAACCGAGTTACCCCTCTCTTGCCTGACCCAATGTGGTTCCAAGAAATAAATGTCACAAATTACGAACATCGATATTTTAACCAATTGCCCCATTTTGTGAGATATCCTAACTATAATAATAGGGTTTTCCCCTTTTTTCTGGCAACAAAACTGAAACCTTATTGCAAGGATTCATGTCTGCATTAACCACAATACTTGCAGTCAAAATGCAAAAAAAAACATACTATGATAATATATGCATTGTCCTTTAAACTGATTGGTCCACACCAAAGGACGGCTTTCTTTTGAGCCTCGACCCAGTTGGTGCTCGACCAGAGGACACCAAAAGGCGTACAGCTCAAAGACAATGCACTATCACAGTAAAGAGGGCTCGGGGTGAGCATCTACATCATTAGACCTCCTTTGCCAGTACCAAATATAATAATAGGCGTTTCCCCTTTTTTCTGGCAACAAAACTGAAACCTTATTACAAGGATTCATGTCTGCATTAACCACAATACTTCACCTGAGGACGGCTGCTTGCGTCGCGGCCGAAACGTCGTGAGAATTTTCTTTTATCATGTTTTATTTTTATTATTTCCCTTCTACGTGACTTTACCGAAAGAACCAAGAAGATGAATCCCTGCAGTCACGAAAGCTTTAAATCGAAAAATATTTTATTCTAGTTCATAAAGCCTGTCTTTGCAAGGCAAAAGTTTTCAATAAATTTAATAATTAAACTCATGATTTTTGTAGAATTTTTATTGTGTAACACTCAAGAGGTTAAATCTTGACTTAAAGCTTTCGTGACTGCAGGAATTCACATTCTTGGGTCTTTCGGTAAAGCCACGTAGATAACATTTTTTAATAATTAAAAATAATAATAACAATATCACGACATTTCGATCGCAACACAAGCAATCGTCATCACGTGAGAAATATCGCGGGAGAGCTGCTGACAATATATGGTGGGAGCCCTGCTAAGGTAAGGAGTTAAAGGTTTGGGATGGGTGTAGCTCAAGCGTCAATCGAAGCGATGTTTCTAAACCGCCAAAATGCCATATGTAAATAACATATTGTGCTCTACAGCATGGTAAATTTCTTTATAAGTGACACAAAGTTTGTATGCAAGGGTAGTAGTTGTAGGTGGTGGTGGAGGTGAATGCTGAGAGTAGGCAATGGATAACGAGAGAGGGCAGAAGGACGAAACTGTCGGCAACGTTAGTGTGGGGTTAAGGCGATTCTAATCAGGTGGCGGTGTTAATAATAACGTGATGACGGATATCGAAACAACGCAAATCGAAACAACGCAAATTGAAGCGACGTACAGGGTGGTGGTGGAGGCGAAGTCTGAGAATAGGCAATGGATAACGAGAGAGGACGGGCGACCATGCTGTCGGCGACATGAGTGTGGAGTTCAGGTGACCGCTAATTGGGTAGTGGTGTTAATCCATTCCCGTTCCGATGATGTACATGTACATGATGTACTGTATATGTACATCATCACTTTCTCTTCCGATTTCGTTCCGTTCAAACGGAACCAAAAATAAAAAATAAAATAATTTTGTCGGTATCAAGGCTCCCACCCACAAAGCCATGCAGCAGGGGTATGTGGCACATTTTGGCGCTGGCTATTGGTGAGTACAGTACAACATCTTGGGGTCATGTTAATCTGACAATATGCAGTACCGATTACCAGTTGGGTTAGTCACAGATAATCAACATACAGTAATAACGCCTCTTAACAACCACCCCTGTTAATGACTAATCGCTTAACGATGGGCCTATGTAGAGCCCAATGCATTCACTTACCGACCATTCCCCTGTTAACGATGGGCTGTTGTAGGTACAGTAAATATTAATTAATGCATTCATTGTCCATGTTTCTGTTATTATTATGTGCTTATAATGTTGTTAGTGTCTTTACGTATTAATATACTTTTTAAAATCGATAAAGTTTTTGTTTTTGGTTAATAAGGGTAACTTTCGATGCTTTCAGATCGAATTAAGCCTTTAAAATGTATTACCTATACAGGCAGTGCCCGGGTTACGGAAGGGTTAGGTTCCTGAGAAATATCATCCGTACGTCTAAAACTGAACAATTTTCCCCCAAAATCAAGATAAAATCCCATAGTGGAAATAGTTGTGCCTCCCCTACCGTTTTATCTCAGTACTGTATCGCGCTGTCGTCCGTTTCCTATCGCTACCTTTATCGTATTGCTGTAAATATGCTCTGTACTTCCTATGATTCTTTCATTTAAATCGGATATCTACCGTAACACTACCTGTATTAAACTAGTGGAACATATACTGGACTGTGTTTACGAATACCACGAAGCATAGAAAACAAATAATTACGGAATGCTACAAAAGTAAAATATTCATAATAAAGGTTTTTGGGTTAAATCGCGTTATTTATAAATGTGTCGTAACCCTCCACCACCCGACACGGCCAATCAGCAAAAAAAGTGTCACGCTGACAAAAGACAAATAATTCACTACTTTAGCCCACCGGTGTGTTGAAAAGTGAATCCACAACATTTACAGTTTGAGTACGACGTTTCGCTGGTAAATACATCCAGCATCATCGGGCAGTTCGCCAGAATAATGAAGCCCTCCACCTGCTCCCGGTCTTAAATAGAGCAGCAGGGTGACGTCATAATTTAACCCAATCATTCTTCAACACACCGGTGGGCTAAAGTAGTGAATTATTTGTCTTTTGTCAACGTGACACTTTTGCTGATTGGCCGTGTCGGGTGGCGGAGGGTTACGACACATTTATAAATAACGCGATCTAACCCAAAAACCATTATTATGAATAATATTGGTCGCGAAAAGCCTACATGTTAAAAAGTAAAATAATTATGCAACGATACAAAAAATTCCATTAACCTTAAATCCTATTGAAGCTCGGGCTCGGTGAAAGCGGCGTTTTGGTGGTGAAGGCAGCGTTTATGCTCTAAATCAATCACTTTACGCTTGCACCCTTGCAAGCACTTGGTCACTTTTCAGTCATTATTGCAATGCAATTAAGGGTAATATTTCACTGAAAGTTACGAGACGATGTGGCGGGTACAGTAAACTCATGGTAACAATGCAACAGCGTTACTTAAAGCGCTATCCAGGACACCACCGCCTTGGTGAATATGCGGCCCCGCCTTACGCCTCGCTCCGCTGTATTCATCACCAACCTCACCGCACTGCACTATCTGCGCTTACGTAATGCAAAGGTTTACGCATACAGTATTGATTTTATTTACATTATTTATTGGCGCATTTCCGTAAATTAGGATTTCCGTAAGTTGGTTCTTCCGTAACCCAGGGATTACCTATACTCTATTAACGACTAAATCATTTAATGACCGGTTTAGTGGAACTAATTACCGTCATTAAGAGGGATTCTACTGTTTAATGGATAACGTTCATCTGAGAATAAGCAGTAATAAGCAGTAGTAGTCATTAACGTATGACTAGCTTTACTACCCAGCTTCACCCGAGACTTGGATTCTTGTCTTAGATTAATACATGGCCTACGCGGAGGGTGGGGGGGTAACGTCAGCAGGCATACTGCGTAATGCTTCCGCATGCGGGTGACATCACAGATGTGACGTCATCACTAACCTGCCGTGCAAAATATATCAATTATTGCGTCCCCGTCCCCCAACCCCAAAATACAAAAGTCTATTTTTATACGTTTTGCATTGTGTACAGTCTGGAAGCTACCCACATGCCAAATTTCAAGTTTGGTGCATGTTGGGAAGTATGTTAAACATTTCGAACAGACACACATTCACAAATTTCCCTTATATTTATAGATTATGTTAATATGACAATACGCAGTAACCTATCGCTGAGTTGAGTTAGTCGCAAAAACTCCGCTGACCTTGGTAAAGACAAGACTGGGGTGGTTGGGAAGGATCAGCTGCACGTTGTCCGCCCTGATGAGACCATGATTGGTGATGTTGAACACAATCTGTTCGATCACGCCCAGCAGCAGGTCGTCCAGCTTCACCTCGCGGGGTTCTATCGTCACGACGGGCTCCGGGACCTGTTGAAAGGTGGCAGCAGCAGCAACGGTGGCAGCGAATGCAACACAAACATGGAGGGAAAAATCACGCCAATGCAAGAATTCTGTTCAGCCGTAGCTCATTGTAATAAAGTGCAGTAGTCTCTTGATTATCTGAGTGCAGTTTATCCGATTTACCGATTAATTGCGCGCACACTGAGATTTTGACATAAATGTATAGCTCATGGATTTTCCCTTGAGCCCAAATGAATTATTCTAAAACAGTTACACATTGTTATTCTTGGAAATGCTTATTCCAAGTCACGCGGTGCTTAAATCGAACAAATATGTTGCTCCGGTTCATCCGTAATCCATGTGATCGCCTCTACAGGACAAGAGTTCGATTGATATTGATTGGCGTGGCTTTGCTGCTGTCCACTTAGTGTGCTGAATCTTCTGCTGGGCAGGAGCAGGAAAGTGTTATTATCACAGAGCACGCGCATCGATGGGTCAATTGTTAGTATTCGTTATAAATCGAAAGAGTAACCATCAAAATCCTTTCCGAACTTAAACATAATTTATACCTACATTCGTGGCTTTGGTAGAGATCCGCAGAAAATTAATATTTTTAGGACTATTCGCGATTTTTAATTATCCACAGTTGCCCTCCCTACTGTTATCCTATGAAAAAATACCTTATTGGAACGAAGCACGGTTTAACATTTGGTTGAATCTGTTGTCAGGGAGGGACAACAAACGGACTGAATTTACACCCCAGACTACGTTAAAATGTGGGCAGCAGAAGGCGAATCAGTATAATAGCATTATTGTATCATTGGACCTCCTTTGCCAGTACCAAAATATAATAATAGGGTTTTCCCCTTTTTTCTGGCAACAAAACTTAAACCTTTTTTACGAGAAATCATGTGTGCATTAACCACAATACTTGCGGTCAAAATGCAAACAAAAAACACTCTGGTAATATATGCATTGTCCTTGAAACTGATTGGTCCACACCAGACAGCTTTCTTATGAGCCTCGTCTCAATTGGTGCTAGACCAGATGACGCCAAAAGGCGTACAGCTCAAAGACAATGCACTATCAAAGTAATCAGTTTCAAGGACAATGCATATATTATCAGAGTGTGATTTTTGTTTGCATTTTGACTGCAAGTATTGTGGTTAATGCAGACATGAATCCTTGTAAAAAAGGTTTCAGTTTTGTTACCAGAAAAAAGTGGAAAAACCCTATTATTAGCATTATTGTACTATGTTCATATGCCTCCAACATCTATGCTGCCCACCTTCACGAATGTGCACCATGACCAACTAAATCAATGCTCGGGACTCGCGGTGACTAGGAGATGTTAACTCCCTCGCCTGGTATGGAGGAGGTTGTGGGTTCGATCCCGACCCTAATGTCTGCTGTATATTTGGAGTTTGCTTGTCTCTCTCCCCGTGGTCACGTGGATTTTTCCGTGGGTCCTACAGGTTTTTCCCTCCACATTTAGAATACACATACATTTAGATTATCTGGAAGCTGCTATACATTTCCACACGATTATAAGCCACTTCGTTGAGCTGCTATCATTTGTGATAGCCAGGTTGCTTCTGAAAAAGAGCCACGTAGCAACTCAGTGGCGGGGTTTTACCTGGAGAAATAAAAGTTTAGTTTTAGTTTGATTAGTGGACGCTCATGCAGCTGTGGACTGACAGAAGGACCTGTAAGTGTGCATGCACACTGACATATACGAATGTGCGGCTAACATTCGGTAAGACATCACACTACCACTCTCCACACACACGCACACCAAAAAAAAACATACAATACAAAGGCATACTGCCATTGTGTAAAATGGCAAGCGACAATTAACTTATGATCCGGCGGTCAATCTCTGAGCATCTTCGCTTACGTGTGTTTCGAAGTCTGCTTCCAGCGTGATGACGTACTCGTCTTTGAACGTCGTCATTTGCACACTCCAAGTGTACACAACCGCTATCCGCTGAAGGAAAATGGTGAGCTGAAATGAAAACAAACAAACCGAACACAAAAAACGATGCAGTAGAACATTAACGGCAGGATATCCGGCGATGTTGATAATAACACTATGTAACACAATTTTTGTTCCTGGGTATTTAGTGTTTTTTCATAATTGCTTATGCCCAAAAAGTATGGAAAATGGCTATTATTCCTCACAAACTTTGCTTTGTGACCAGGACAGTGATATTTTGAAATGTACCTATTTTCAATGAGAAAACGGGCGAATTTGTGTCTTTTCGTTCACATAAAGTCAGAAAACAACAACATATGACTCAACATTAGCATGTATTTGTACCAAAATAATACAAAAATGACTACAAAAGATTTAGAAGTGAGTAGTTTTTCGAGATTTACGATTATACTGAAAATCACTTTCACGAATCTCCCGTTATACTGTCCTTGGTAGTGGCGTTCAAAGTCCAGTATATCCTGGTGGAAGTGCTCGCCTTGCTTCTCCGATTACGCTCCCATGTTCTCCATGAATTTATCAAGATAAGCATCGATGATTTGAACTTTGAGGGACATCCTACAGCCCATTGTGCCGTAGTTCTTCACCAGAGTCTCAATCAGCTCCACATAGTTTTGGCCTTGCGATTGCCCAGGAAACCACGAACCACTGCGACAAAGCTGTCCTAAGCTGCTTTTTCCTTACTAGTGAGCTTCTTGGGGAATTCATTGCACTCCAGGATCTTCTTCTGTGGTCCGACGGAAACACTGGCTTTAACCTTTGCCTCAGACAGCTTAGGGAAAAAGTCTTGAAGGTACTTTAAGGCTGCCGAATCCTTATCTACAGCTCTGACAAATTGTTTCAAAAAGCCCAATTTGACGTGCAGTCGTGTTATCAGCACCTTCCGGGGGTCCACCAGTGGCTCCCACTTGACGTCGCTCCTCCCACAGAGAACTCGGTTAGCTGTGGCCCGTCCAGCCTGTGGTAGTGTGCCTTGGTGTCCCTTCTATCCCAAAGGCAAATATAGCAGGGAAACTTGGTGAAACCGCCTTAGAAACCCATCAGAAATGCCACCATTTAGAAGTTTCCGATGACCTCCCAGCCACACTCATCATACTTCAAGGCGTCCAGGCTGGACGGTCCAGCAAGGTCTTGATGCTGTTGTACTCCTCTTTGAGGTGCATTGAGTGAGCCAGGGGAAGAGACGGGTACTTCTGTAGTGACATCGCGAATGTCAATGTGTGGTGCTGGCCCTAGAGTGGCACAGTGTGCAATGTACTCACATCGCGGACATCACATATGTAGCGGCATAAGTCGCTGTGTAATGTTGGCTCTAGCGAGCACGGCGTGCGATGCATTGTCATCGTGGACACCCCGTAGGTGGGTGTCGTACCGGCCCTAGAGGGGGCTCGGTGAGCGCTGGGATAGCGCAGTGGCACCATGCGTGGCGTGCAGTGCTGACTCCTGCACGCCACGCATGGTGTGAGAGTGTCAGCCATGGGATGAGGTTACCCTAGGCCATGGCACTCTGGTTGACCCTGCAAGGCACGTGACCAGTAAGATCTACACAGGGGCCCCAGGTGGGGGCTTGGGGATGGTCACGTGTCAGGGTGAGATCCTACGGGAAGGGTCGAGAAACGACAAGAGGTTTATCAAAGGTAGTCGTGGCCAAGGGCGGGGCCAGCCACGACCCAGCAGGATATAAACCGGGTCCGTGCAGGGACCGGTGTTCAGCATTGCTGTCGACATCTGAAGATCTACGATCTACGTTCTACGTCCGAGAAGAAATCACCAACACGTGGACGAGGACCCAAGCTAGGGTCATGTCCATTGTAGATACTCCCAGTAACTAGCGTAGTTAGCCTGGTGGTCCACCACCATAGGTTATCTGGTAAAGGGGCATTAACCCCTTTGTGTTTTATGTTGGTGTTAATAAATGTGTTGCCTCCAAGAAGTACGTCTGCGACTTAGTTGAATCCACTGCACTTGTTACCATTATGGATCAGGATGGCTTTCAGGCTCTGGATGAGCTGTCAATGAAGAGGCGCCACTCATTATAGTTACAGGCGATTCCGATTGCCTCGAATAGACTGGTCATATTGTGACAGAAGCAGAGCCCATCTTGACTGGTGAAGAAGCTGCAAAAATGTTGGTGACGCTTCCTCTGATCTGCGACTTGCACACTTTCATCCAACAAGTTCCACTGCTTGAGCCTAGACGTCAAAAGCTCGGCATTGGACTTGGTGAGACCAAGATCTCTGATCAAGTCGTTGAGGTCTTTTTGGTTGGGGTAGTATGGGTTTCTCTCCTTAGCTCCACCTCTGAAATTGTCATCTTCCTCGCTCTCCGACTTGCTGCTCTCTTCTAAAGAAGGCTGTGCTCTCTCCGGATGAGTGGGAACGGGGAGCTCATGGCAGTGTGGCACCGGCGTGATGGATGAAGGAAGTTCCGGATACGTGATATCAGGCGCATTCTTGCCAGTCCCACGTTTGGAACGGTCCACCATGCAGAAGTAACAGTTGCTCGAGTAGTCAGTGGGTTCCAGCCAAATTCTTGATATAGCGAACTTCATGGCTCGCTTTTCTCCTCTGTACCATCCTCTAAAAATACATGTATTGCACCCATGACTGATGTGTAAGAGATTCTCGCAACATTATTCATATATGATATATATTTTTTTCAATAACATTGAAAATTGCAAAACATTTAAAAATGAAAATCTTTTACAATTTAATTTTTAAAAACACATTTTATAACAATAAAATAATAAAAATATAAAACAATTTTATTGTTTTTTTATTATTTTATTGTTTCCCTTCTACGTGACTTTACCAAAAGAACCAAGAATATGAATCCCTGCAGTCAGTAAAGCTTTAAATATATATATTTTTATAATTCTTTGGTTCTTTCAGGAAAGTCACGTAGGTATAAAATAAAATAAATCACGACGTTTCGGGCGCAACACAAGCGTCAATCATCAGGTGGGAAAGCATAGTCTGCTGCTGAGGCAGACTTATGTAACTAACTGGCACGTTTTGTTTAGGTGACAAACCTTACCGGTTGGCTGTGTCGAGGGGTGGCGGGTTATGACACATTGATACTTACGCGATCTGACCCAAAAACCTTTATTACGAATATATGTATTGGTTCCAGTAAGTAATGTGCGGCAAGCCCTTTTAACACACATTAGGATCATTTATTGTGGGACATCAGCTTCATCCTCCTTCTACTGCCCCCAATGTTTTAGAACTCCCTTCCTCCAGACTATATGTGCTGCCAACTCCCTGCACCTGTCCAAGTCCAGGATTGAAAATCTTTTTCTCTTCTCCGGGACCTATGACCAAAAGCTCCACCCCCCTCTCTATCATAGGATACCTTTTTTGCCAGTATCAAAGTATAAAAAATAAGAAAGGTTTATACCATTTCTGGCAATAAAAAAGGTGTTAAGATGTTCAAACACTAAAGAGATACCTTTTGCAAGGAATCAAGTCTGCATTAATCACACTTACTTGTGGTGAACATGCAAACAAAACATGTGTAGTGGATTCAGCTGAGTCACATATGTACTTCTTGGAGGCAACACATTTATTCGAAATCAACACATAACACAAAGGGGTTACTGCACCTTTACTAGATAACCCATGGTGGTGGACCACCAGGCTATCTACGCTTGTTACTATGAGTATATACAATGGATGGGACCCTAGCTGGAGTCCTCGTCCACCTGTTGGTGACTTCTTCTCGGATGTAGAACGTAGATCTTCATATGACCGGAGCGACGCTAAACCCCGGTCCCTGTGCGGACCCGGCTTATATACTCCCGGGCCTGTGGCCGGCCCCGCCCTGGGCCACGCCCACCTACGAGAGAGTTCTAGCTCTCTCGACCCTTCCCGTCGAGTCTTTACCCCTGACACGTGACCACCCCCTGGCCCCCACCTGGGGCCCTGTGTAGACCTTACTGTCACGAGACTTCCAGGGTCAACCAGAGTGTCATGGCCTAGGGTAACCTTTCCCCTGGCTGACATTCTTCCACTCCCTCCAGTAGCAGTCAGCACAGCACGCCACGCGTGGTGCCTATGCGCTATTCTAGCAATACCCAAGCCGCCTCTAGGGCTGGTACGACACCCACCTACGGGGTGTCTGTAATGCCAGTGCATCGCACGCCGTGCCTCGCTAGAGCCGGCATGACTCAGTGACATTCACGATGTTGCCACATACTTGATGTCCACGATGTGAGTACATCGCACGCCATGCCCCTCTAGGGCCGGCACCACACAGTGACATCCGCGATGTCACTACACATGGTCCAATAATATATGTATTGTCTTTGGAACTGATTGACATTCACGAGAGACAGCAGCCTTCTTTATGGCCTAGTCTCAGCAGCATCAGACCAGAGAATGCCAAAAGGTGAACATTACAATGACAATGCACATGTATAGCTCAGGGTGAACAGTTATATCATGATGGCACCTTGTTGCCAGTATCAAAGTATGAAAAATAATAATTAGGTGTTTACCCTTTCTGGCAATAAAACAGGAGGTGTTAAGATGTTCAAACACCAAATAGATACCTTTTGCATGTGTAGTGACATAGAATCGGTCACGTAGCAGCATAGCGCTGGCTGCTGGTAGGGAAGGGGATCTGCAGATTACAGCAGCCCTGACTGACAGTAGGTCACGTGATAGACCAGAGAGGGATGTAGGGGAAAGGTTACGGAAGGCGCACATCAAGAACCCGCTAGAAGATTCAAGAAGGGGGCATGACCGGGGGCGGAGCCAGGCCACTATGACAGTATAAGAGGGGCCCCGGGAGGGGACCTCGGGGCTGTCGTTTGGAGTGGGGTCCCCGTCGTGCTGCTGGAGCCTTCACCATCATCTCCGTCTTCACCATCTCGGCGTCGCCAGTCAGGCAGTCTACCAGCTGTCCTGACTGGGAACCGTAGTTACCAAGTGTTAACTGTTAAGGTCGTGTTAATAAACAGAGTGCCTCCTACTCTTAGTGTCTCTGAGTCAGTCACTACACATGGAATCAAGTCAGCATTAACCACACCGTGCTTGTGGTGAGCTTGCAAACAAAACATGCTCTAAAAATACACTGGTCCACTTGGCTAACAGCAATAATTGGTTCCACAAAAAAATGTGTTAATTGAAATAATCGTTAATCGAATAGAGGAAATGTACGTTCAAGGGCTTCATCTGTTCTAAGACAATCGAAAGTTGACCTTTATCACCCTAAAAAAACAGTATTGTAATATTTAAATACGGAAATGTAATAAGCGTTATAAGAACACATTCAAGCGTTAATAGAAACATGGATAATGACTAAATAGAGTGTAAAAAGGTGGATCAATGGAACATAAAACAAAAAGTCTTACCTTAGGCTAAGAAGATGCATGGCTTAAGTATTCAAGAGAGCTGTTTCGATAACCAATGCACCAGCAAGCATGGAGAAGCTAGCAGCCAGTTGCTCTCAAAACGCTCATTAAAGGGGTGGTCGTTGATTGGCTGATGTCTGCTGATTCCCAATTAAGGAGTGCTCCGATTGGCCGAAATTGGCGGCCCCCGCATGATATCGTAAATTTATAGTTAATAGAAACAATGGGGACCACGACGAGAGGCAAATCGTGAATCAAAATATTGTTAATTTATGGAATCGTAAACCGATTTACCACTGTAAATAAGAATATTTGCAACTTATTAGTGGCGTAGTGACTACCTTATTAGCTCAGTGGGTGCGGCCATCGGTCAGGTGGGAGTCACCCAATATTGTGTACGTGTAGTGATGGCGACACACGTTCTTGCTTCACTAAGAGCCTTTATTTTGGACACAATGCTATTCCTAGGCTAGGGCTTTAGTTCTTGATGTTCGAATTTTATCTTTAATTCAACCGTCCCCTCCCCTCATGCTATCCCCTTTTACATCCTCTGAGCCCCCCTTTCTGGAAGCTTCGCTCATCCCATTTCCCTCAGCCAATCCCTGTCCCCCTTCTCCAATGGCTGTGAACTGTCTCCCCTACAGTCAACCCTCGTTTCCCAGGCTTTTACGATGGCATTTCTCATCCAATTCCTCTGGTTCTCGTATCCTAACCCAATCGTCTTTGAGGCCTCCCTGCACCAATCAGAGGCCTTGATTGACATCCTGACTGTTCGTTTGCACATACGCTATGTCAGGTAAGTGGTCTGTTGCCTCGGTCATGTTGAACTACTTTCGCGCCATACGTAGCCAACTGTGCTAATTAGAGGATGGTTGAGTGTGCAGGGTGACTACAATATGTCAGCGGGTGAGCGACTATGCGAGCGGGCGAGCGACGATGCGAGTCTATGACAGTACTTGCGAGTTGTGGTTGGAGAACACTGCGACCCCGGAGTAGGGGATGTGACGTGGAGCCTCCACGTACACGTCGTACCGGTCCTCCGTCACGTTAGAGAAGGTCACCGTCCCTGGGGACAAAAAAAAACGTCCGTCACAAACCGCCAAACGTGCTTCATTAAATCGGGCATGCAACTTTCCAATGTGGACTACTGCGCCATGACAACCGTGTGTCACATGCCCCAACCAACCAATCATGGGATCAGTATAAATTACAGGACACTTACAGTGAGGGAAAAAAAGTATTTGATCCCCTGCTGATTTTGTAGGTTTGCCCACTGACAAAGAAATGATCAGTCTATAATTTTAATGGTAGGTTTATTTGAACAGTGAGAGACAGAATAACAACAACAAATCCAGAAAAACGCATGTCAAAAATGTTATAAATTGATTTGCATTTTAATGAGGGAAATAAGTATTTGACCCCTCTGCAAAACATGACTTAGTACTTGGTGGCAAAACCCTTGTTGGCAATCACAGAGGTCAGACGTTTCTTGTAGATGGCCACCAGGTTTGCACACATCTCAGGAGGGATTTTGTCCCACTCCTCTTTGCAGATCTTCTCCAAGTCATTAGGGTTTCGTGGCTGACGTTTGTCAACTCGAACCTTCAGCTCCCTCCACAGATTGTCTATGGGATTAAGGTCTGGAGACTGGCTAGGCCACTCCAGGACCTTAATGTGCTTCTTCTTGAGCCACTCCTTTGTTGCCTTGACCGTGTGTTTTGGGTCATTGTCATGCTGGAATACTCATCCACGACCCATGTTTAATGCCCTGGCTGAGGGAAGGAGGTTCTCACTCAAGATTTGACGGTACATGGCCCCGTCCATCGTCCCTTTGATGTGGTGAAGTTGTCCTGTCCCCTTAGCAGAATAACACCCCCAAAGCATAATGTTTCCACCTCCATGTTTGACGGTGGGGATAGTGTTCTTGGGGTCATAGGCAGCATTCCTCTTCCTCCAAACACGGCGAGTTGAGTTGATGCCAAAGAGCTCCATTTTGGTCTCATCTGACTACAAAACTTTCACCCAGTTGGCCTTTGAATCATTCAGATGTTCATTGACAAACTTCCGACGGGCATGTATATGTGCTTTCTGGAGCAGGGGGACCTTGGGGGTGCTGCAGGATTTCAGTCCTTCATGGCGTAGTGTGTTACCAATTGTTTTCTTGGTGACTATGGTCCCAGCTGCCTTGAGATCATTGACAAAATCCTCCTGTGTAGTTCTGGGCTGATTCCTCACCGTTCTCATGATCATTGCAACTCCACGAGGTGAGATCTTGCATGGAGCCCCAGGCCGAGGGAGATTGACAGTTCTTTTGTGTTTCTTCCATTTGCGAATAATCGCACCAACTGTTGTCACATTCTCACCAAGCTGCTTGGCAATGGTCTTGTAGCCCATTCCAGCCTTGTGTAGGTCTACAATCTTGTCCCTGACATCCTTGGAGAGCTCTTTGGTCTTGGCCATGGTGGAGAGTTTGGAATCTGATTGATTGATTGCTTTTGTGGACAGGTGTCTTTTATACAGGTATCAAGCTGAGATTAGGAGCACTCCCTTTAAGAGTGTGCTCCTAATCTCAGCTCGTTACCTGTAAAAAAGGCACATGGGAGCCATAAATCTGATTGAGAGGGGGTCAAATACTTATTTCCCTCATTAAAATGCAAATCAATGTATAACATTTTTGACATGCGTTTTTCTGGATTTTTTTTGTTGTTATTCTGTCTCTCACTGTTCAAATAAACCTACCATTAAAATTATAGACTGATCATTTCTTTGTCAGTGGGCAAACGTACAAAATCAGCAGGGAATCAAATACTTTTTTCCCTCACTGTAAAAGCCTCAGCAACTCCAAGCCCCTGCTGCGGTCAGGCCAAGGAGCTGTGCACTTTTAAATAATCAAGATTCAAAACTAATTTCTTTAGAACTACGTTTTTGTGTTTAGTTTGTTGTCCTTCCCCTGCACCTCCGATGGGCGCGGTTGGTTATGTACGGCGTGAAATAAGTTCAACATGCATACATACAGACGTACTACACTACACACTACATACTACACTACACGATACATTACTATACACGACACTATACCACTATACTTTTTGTGTGTTACAAGTAAAAAATATGATACAGAGGTGTTAACCAGGCCAGCCACTGGACTTTCATTTTATTGGGTAGCAAATGCACTACCTGCTCAGCCTCGTCTCGGCATATACAATTAAAGCCAGTTATGCGATATTTATGTTATAGTACATACCACGCGCCGTGCCATATATTTAAACGTTAAACTGTAAAAACCATGGCAACAGCAGTAGATGCGGATGATACCTGATGATGCACAAATGGAAAATTTTAAAACCCTCCGGTAGTAGTCATGCAACCGTGGTCATCCAGAACAGAAACCGTACAACGTGTGATGACCCAATGTCCTGATCCACAAATACGAAGGAGACATCACAACGATGTTTATACAACTACTCTGCACCTGTACCTAACACGGTCATCTGTGGCTTGACCACCCGAATGTGAAATTGTAGTTGTTGCCTTTCAAATCTACATGAGCCCAAACATAAGAAGATAATACCCCTAGCCCAATCACTAACCCTTTCACAACCCCTATTACCACCCCTATCACCACCCTAATCACCACCCTAATCACCACCCCAATCACAACCCCAGAGCAGAAACCGTAGTACAATGTGTAGCGATGATATGCCCCGATCCATAAATATGAAGGAGACATCACAGCAATGTTGATACACCACTCCGCTAATGCTCCTGATGCCGCAATCTGCGGCTTGACCACACTGAACGTGACATCGTAGTTGTTGCTCTACATCTACTGCATCAGCCGCCATACAACAAGAAGAACAAGAAGAGCATTAAACCTGCACCCACCGTTGTCTTCCGCTGTGCTCTTTGCGAGGCGCACACCACGGGAAGGGTTGTTGAGCAGCACTACGGCGTTGGAAACGAGGGGGTGGCCCGCGACGAAGTAGGTGTACTCGTCCTCCACCGTCACCTCCACAGATAGCAGCTGGCTGCAAACACCGCCACAGCCGAGTTGAAAAAGGGCATCAAGAGCTGGTTTCACGGTCATGCAGAAGTCAGCACAAACCTGAAAGGGGCCCGCCGTGTGATAAGCCTTGCCCGTCCTTGTTAGACGGCCGGCCAAAAGCCGCTGCTGCTCCTTGCTGCAAAGATCCCCCATATAGGCTTAGCTGGCTATTGGGGCAATTGCTGTTAGCAAGTAGCACCCATGAAGGCCAGCATGGCACACGAGGGGGTGGGTGGCCACAGCACTACCCCCGGCTACCTTTGTCTCCTCAGTGGCGATGATTTTACACACTGCACCAGGACCGGTTCAGATCATCATCACTGGTGGTGGTCGTTAGCAGGAATCAAACTCGGGTCGCTGGGTTTGTAGCGCAGTCCACTAACCACTGCACTCCTGTTCCTGAATACAACAACAACCACCATTCGCCACTAGGTGACAGTGACATCACCACGGCACCTGTGCCAGGCTATGTGCACTTTAAGGACAAGTGAAGTGTCGAACGCCCACTAGCAGGAGGTTACAGGGACAAACCGAGGTGCCACGGGTTGACTGAGATGACTGGGCCGATGCACCACCTGTGTCCCCTGATACACGCACACATTCGTGTGTATATATGTACACAGTAGAACCCCTCCGATTAACGACGGTAATTGGTTCCAGGAAACCGGTCGTTAAAATATTTGGTCATTAAGCGAGTATAGGAAAAACATATTAAAGGCTGACTTCGTTCCGATAGGATCGAAAGTTACCTTTTTACTCTAAAAACGTACTTTATATTTTTAAAATGTATACTAATACATAAAGATGCATTACAAACACATACTATTAAAATAATCATGGTTAATCAATGCATTAGTTAATATTTCCTGTCCCTACAACAGCCCATTTTTAACAGGGGAATGGTCGGTAAGGGAACACATTGGGCTCTACGTAGGCCCATAGTTAAGCGATTAGTTGTTAAAAGTGGTGCTCGTTAAGAGGGGTTCTACCGTATCTAGATAACGTACTCGGAGGAGACAACGATGGTGAATGGCACAGTCGTCGACGTCTCAGTGGAAGCGACGTAAAAACTCCCGGCGATCTCCCCCAGCGGTTGGCTCTCCGGCACGGCGATGGAGAGCACGAGGGCAGCCCGCTCGCCGTGGGCCAGGCTGAGCGGCGGGGCGCCGTCGCTCTGACGGGAGCCGTTCTTGGCGAAGCTCACCAGGGAGAGCAGGTCTCCACCGGGTAAGGTGATGCTTACTTGCTCGGCTGTGACCTTGCCCGTGTTTGTCACTGACAGCTGCGCAACGACATCAATAATAAAATTTTATAAAAATGGAATGAAATAAAAATACATCTCAATGTCACAAGTCTGACTTTGCTTACGATGACTTTGTCACTACACTTTTTTATCGCAATCTCGATACAGTGATTCCCCTGTGGGTAAATGGCTTCGATGATTCATAGATTTTTCAATTGGGCCCTTTGGCCGTATCGAAGCTCAAACGACCACAGCAGATTTTACACAATGCATTTTTTTATGACGGACTGTCTTGGCTCACAATGCAAAAAAAAATCGTGAACACATTACCAGCTTTAGTGGAAACATCTTAAAGCAGCCGTCAAGAATAATGACGAGAGTTAAAATAATAAATACAATGTATAATGCGCATACCATCCTAGAATCCCATTACGTGAAAACCAGGGGAACCAGAGCTACCGACCAAAGTAAAGAGTGAATGCCACCTTAAAGAGATGGGTTTTCAAATCAGACTTAAATACATCTACCGGCTCTGATTGCCTGATTTCAAGTGGCAAGGCGTTCCATAGCTTGGGTGCCATGCTAACAAAAGCCCAATCACCAAAAGAGTGCAACCTAGACCTGGGAGTGCAGAGCCGTTGGAGATCAGAATATCTTCAGGACCTCGATGGAATATATCTGGAGTTTAGTTTCAGTTTCATTTATTAAGTATAACCCTGTGAGCCATGTGGAACTTGGCTCGGGTGCAACCGCAACAAACAAAAACATGAACGAGAAACATCTTAAGTGACTACACGCAACAGAAAAATCCAGGAAAAAACAACAAAGTCTTCCAGAAAAAAACACCGTATTTCAACGCTGTGTGCAAAAATCCCAGTAGGATGCAAGTCAAACAATGACAACCAGAAGACAATTACAGTTATCAGGCTAACTCTCTACTACAACAAACAAACATCCCTGAACCAAAACTTTCCAAAATCACCAAAATAAAGCTATAAAAACAATGTAACAGTGATCATAGGAACTGTGATTCAAATTTAACAATAAACGATATACATAATATGTACGACCAAACTTTGCAGCCATCGCTGGCTGCATGAGTCACTCCAAAACAGCAGGAGTATCAGTAGCAGAATAAAAGCATTTCAATACACCTTAAAAGATCAAAACTCAAGATCATACTTTGCAGCAGTCATCCGGAACAATACATTTGATTTTAGGCCACTGAATATCAGTGGCAGCTAGGGGTGTACAACTCCTCTAGAGCAGTTGTGAGTGAAGATCTCAGTCACTTTAAGATGTTTTCTTGTTCGTGTTTTTTTGGTTTGTTGTGGTTGCACCCGATTCAAGATCCAAATGGCTCACAGGGCTATACCAAAATAAATAAGCTTAAAAAAAACTGAGGTAGTGATTCAAGTTGCAGTTTATTGGCGATAGCATTCCAGACCCTGGGGGCATCAATAGAAAAGGCCCTTCCTCCAATATTTGTACGGCAATAAGGAATGTGAAGCTGGTAAATGAGCGAAGACCTTCGGTCACATTTGTTATTCAAAACAGTGAGGAGATCCAGCAGGTAGTCTGCTGATTTGTTTGTATGTACATCGTGAAAAAATAAGATCTGATGCACAAGCTGTCGATCATTAAGAGAAGTTAAGTTTGACCCAATGTAGAGATCGCAGTGGGGGGTCCTATATCGGCAGTTCAATGCAATTCTTAAGGCCGAGTGATAAATTGAGTCAAGCTTCTTCAGTATAGTACTGGGGGCTGATTTATCTACAATGTCACAGTAATCAAGTAGAGGCAGTATGGTAGCTTTTATCAATTCCAAGCGGAACATAGGGGGGAAGCAGTGCTTGTGTCGATGCAGAAAACTATTTTTTTATTTTGTCTTTTTACCAATATAAATCAATGTGATCTTGAAAATTCAGTTTTGAATAACAGATTACCCCAAGATACTTATAAATCTTGACTTGCTCTATTTGATTGTTATTAAAGGAATATAATTGGAGGGGAAAAAAACTTCCTGCTTTAGTCCTGGTGAGAAGCATAGCACCTTGGTTAAGGCGGTATTCAGGACTAGTTTAAGAGCAACCAGCTGATGTTGTAGTTTCTCATTGTTTTTTTCGGTAAAGTCACGTATGTAGAAATACAATAAAATTATATTAAAACAAAAACAATCACGACATTTCGATCACAACGCAAGCGATCTTCATCAGGTGTCAAGAACAAATCACGGAGGTAAATACAACAAAAAGATGAGAGTCGAGAATTCAACAAACCTGAAAAAACATTATGTGAAGCACATCCAGTCAGGCCAACAACACAGTTAGATACTTCCTGGCGGACCACGAATTTCAGAAGAGTGTTAAATTTCGTGTTCAATCTTTGGATTGCACATACCAGCATAGATAGAATGAAAAATATGAGATACACGGTCAGTAGAAATACATATACAAGTCCATCAAGAGGTAAGGAGGGAGGAAAGACGGACAGGGAGGCAGAGAGAGGGGGGAGGGGGGCGGAGGGATGAACAGAAGCTTAAATAGGAAATACGGTTGGAGGGGGGGAAGGGCTAGAGAGAGCGGCAGCTCAAACACGCACATCTTACATATACAAAACGGCAGCTCAAAAAAGGACCACCTCTTGTAAATACAAAACGGCAGCTCAAAAAATGACGACCTCTTGTAAATACAAAACGGCAGCTCAAAAAGGGCACATCTTACACATAATTACAACGGTCAAGAACAAATCAGGGAGGTAAATACAACAAAAAGATGAGAGATGAGAATTCAACAAACCTGAAAAAAACATTATGTGAAGCACATCCAGTCAGGCCAACAACACAGTTAGACACTTCCTGGCGGACCACGAATTTCAGAAGAGTGTTAAATTTCGTGTTCAACCTTTGGATTGCACATACCAGCATAGATAGAATGAAAAATACGAGGTACACGGTTAGTAGAAATACATATACAAGTCCACCAAGAGGTAAGGAGGGAGGAAAGACGAACAGGGAGGCAGAGAGAGGAGGGGGGAGGGATGAACAGAAGCTTAAATAGGAAATACGGTTGGAGGGGGGGAGGGGCTAGAAAGAGCGGCAGCTCAAACACGCACATTTTACATATACAAAACGGCAGCTCAAAAAAGGACCACCTCTTGTAAATACAAAACGGCAGCTCAAAAAAGGACCACCTCTTGTAAATACAAAACGGCAGCTCAAAAAAGGACCACCTCTTGTAAATACAAAGCGGCAGCTCAAAAAGGGCACATCTTACACATAATTACAACGGTAACTTCCCCGCAGAAGTGTGATAATAAAGTATTAAAGCTTTCGTGACTGCATAAAATTACTCATTGGTTTTTTCGGTAAAGTCACGTATGTAGAAATACAATAAAATTAAATTAAAACAAAAACAATCACGACGTTTCGGTCAAAACGCAAGCGATCTTCATCAGGTGTCAAGAACAAATCACGGAGGTAAATACAACAAAAAGATGAGAGACGAGAATTCAACAAACCTGAAAAAAACATTATGTGAAGCACATCCAGTCAGGCCAACAACACAGTTAGACACTTCCTGGCGGACCACGAATTTCAGAAGAGTGTTAAATTTCGTGTTCAACCTTTGGATTGCACATACCAGCATAGATAGAATGAAAAATACGAGGTACACGGTCAGTAGAAATACATATACAAGTCCACCAAGAGGTAAGGAGGGAGGAAAGACGGACAGGGAGGCAGAGAGAGAGGGGGGGGGGGGGCGGAGGGATGAACAGAAGCTTAAATAGGAAATACGGTTGGAGGGGGGGAAGGGCTAGAGAGAGCGGCAGCTCAAACACGCACATCTTACATATACAAAACGGCAGCTCAAAAAAGGACCACCTCTTGTAAATACAAAACGGCAGCTCAAAAAATGACCACCTCTTGTAAATACAAAACGGCAGCTCAAAAAGGACTTGTATATGTATTTCTACTGACCGTGTACCTCTTATTTTTCATTCTATCTATGCTGGTATGTGCGATCCAAAGTCCTTGGATAAGTCAAGAAAAAGACTGGCGCAGTACTGCTTATTATCAAGGCTACTGCAAATGTGATTCAGAGAGTCTAATGCAGCAGATGTGGTGCTGTATTTTTTTCGGAACCCAGATTGTTTTCGATGTGATCGATTGTTGTCAGACAGGAAACTGCTAATTTGGTAGCTCAATCATTTTTCAAAAATTTTCATCAATAGGGACAAAATTGAGATAGGTCGGTAGTTATTTGGATCATCTTTAGGACCCCCTTTGTGAAGTAGACGAACATAGGAATGTTTCCATTCTAGAGGTACTGATGCTTCTTTGATGGACAGGTTGAAAATATGGGCTATAGGTTTGTACAATAGGTGACCAACAGTTAGCAGCGTGAAGACGGGAATACTATCCGCTTCGGTAGAGAGGACCCTTTGAGGTAGGACAGTTGTTTCAGAACATTACTTTCTTGGATAGGCTGGAAACTAAATTCGTTTAATGTTTAGACAGAGGTGTAGGAAATTGCATGAGCAGGGGTGACTCCCAATACATTATCAAAAAGGTCACCAGCTTCAGAAAAATGAAGGTTAAAATTGTCGACTATTTTTTGGGGCTCTGAAAAATCGTCCCCATTTCGGTTAAGTGCAATGGGCAGATTATCTGTGTTAGATGCCTTTTCGATACATTTGATTGTTTTCCAGAAGATCATGGCATTGCCATGTGATTGCATCCAACAGGGAGATGGGGCAATACCAATTATCTGAGTGTTGTGTGGGCTAAGTTGCATAATTACTTTGCAGGTTTTTGAGGGATGGCAACCGGCTTGGGGAGGCCTTTGCCCAGCGGTGGATTCAACATGGCCGATGATGCAATTCGCCATGCAAGAGCAGCAGCGGTGTGAGTTGACCTTACCTCTGCTAAGGAAGGCTTTCCTCTGAGCACCCGCATGCTCAGTGACCCCGGTTGAACTTCAATGTTGGGCAGTGAGTATTTGTAGTCGAGGAAAACTGTCGCCGTAGTCTCAGTTCCCAGCTCTGTATGCGCTCTGTCACACACACAAAACAAAGATCCCCCGTTTATTCCCTGAACAGACTGTTGGGGCAAGTGCTGTAAGCGAGCAGCACCTGCAAAGGCCGGTATAGCACATGAGGGGCGTGGTTGGCCAACACCATGCCCGGCCGCCTTTGTTTCCCCAGTGGTGACATTTAAAATTGGAGTAACGTGACGATTCACCAGTAAATACAACAACCAACATCATCAGGCAACAGCCAGAGTTATGGAGAAATCCTTCCCCCTGTTTTGGTTTTAATAACTTACCTTATAACAAAATACGCTTTGAAAGCACGGGGAGCGTCTATCCAAAGAGAGATGGGCACTGCGCTTCCTGGGCCCAGGGTCGCCAGAAAGTTTGAGCCATTTTGGAACGAGACGTTCGACTTCAGAAAGGAAAGGTGATCTGGTGTCTGCGAAAGGGAAAATGATTGTTGAAACAAAGAATAAAAAAAAATCGCGTGCACACACGTGCATTCTGTACCACTTTCCAACATTTGCCCTTGAAAGGATTCAATTAGCGATCTATCTTTCAAGCTGCATGATGAGATGACGAAGAGGCTTGTGCACTGTTTTTTTTTTCATTACAGCAGTCCCTCGGTGAAAAGTGACATCATCGGGTTCACGGTTTTTCGGGTTAACGTTTCGCCTCCCATAGGGACCCCCATGGTTTCAACTTCACATTATAAATTGTGATGTAACAGTAGCATGTTTATGTTTATGCACACAGGCGCCAATTTCGGCCAATCGAGCGCTCGTAAGTGTGGCTGAGGCATGCCCTCGGTCAATCAGCGACGCCTATCTGTGAGCATTTAGATCCCGCATTTCTTTGTTAACATTCTTGCGTTTTCTGTCTTGGCAGTGGAAAAGCTCTCTCGTGCAAACTCGGTGATGTTTTACTTATTTTTCAACTTATAAGTGAATTCTATTCAAAGTTATTTTGGTTCACAGTAATTATTGTGGAGCGGATTAAAACGATAACTGGCTAACTACTGTACTATTAATATTATTGCCACGTTATGGGAAAACCTGCGATCAATCAATTTGGCCAGAATTCCACTTGGCAAGTCCCAAATAGCAATGCAAACTTACGCTGCGCCACGGACTTTTATTTTTATTTTAGATCGGATAGAGCAGGGGGTGTAAAGTAGGGCTGAACGATATTGGGAAAATATCTAATTGCGATTTTTCTGACATATATTGCGATTGGGATTTGATTTGCAAGCTTCAGTTCAATATTGACTGTGTAATAGATTTAAAACACATGATGGAGCATTACCACTTGATACCATCAAAATATGAACTGCTCTATATATTATAATGCAAGGATGAGAACTTAAAATATACGAATTTCTTCCAACATGTATTTACAAAATTTTTTTAATTGAAACAGAACAATCAACATAGAACAATTGTTAAGTTAAATTAAAAAAGTTATAATAATAAAAATAATAAACAAATTCCAATAAGAAAGTAATAGGACTTTTCAAATCACAAAAAATCGCAGCCTTTGCAATTTGCTAATCGCATTGTTTCAAATTGGGATTTCGATTTGAAATCGATTAATCGTTCAGCCCGAGTATACAGTAGAACCCTTCTTAACGACCACCCCTGTTAACGACTAATTGCTTCACGATGGGCCTCCATAGAGTCCACTTACCGATCATTCTCCTGTTTATGACAGGCTGTTGTAGGTATAGTAAATATTAAGTAATGTATTGACTAACCGTGTTTTTTTCTATATGATGTGTTTATAATGTTGTTTAAATATTCTAAAGTGCCTTTTTTGGGTGAAAAAGGGTAACTTTTGATGTTAGCAAAACGAATTAAGCCTTTAATGTGCATTTCCTATACTCGCTTAATGACCAACGACCAGTTTCGTGGAACCAATTACCGTCGTTAAGAGGAGGAGTTCTACCATACATCAAGTGCGAGAGCGGCCCCCTTTGCAGTGATGGAAATCACTGAGCGCACACTAGAATCACGATTGGCGTTTTTTTTCTTTTTCCCAGGGCGAAAATGAAACGTTGCTCGCAACCAGTGCCCTATTAGAGCAACTGAGATTTTCGTGAGATGGGGTGGGGTGTCACTGTGATCTAATTGTGAGTGGGAGGCCTCATGTAAACAGTTGAGCTGTACCAAGTAAAGTTAGTGGCCATAACTTGGCCCTGCCGGGGGACCATTTGGTGGCCTACCACCTACTATGCTAGTAAGGAATCGTAACTGCAAGTGCCCGACAGTGGGGATGTGAAGATAGGTGCCTCTAACATCTAAAACTATTGTTTTCATTGTTACCAGGTAAGGCCCGCGACTGAGCTGCTATGTGGCTCATCTTTCAGAAGCGACCTGGCCATCACAAATGATAGCTCAACGGAGTGGCCTATCAACATCCTGTGTAATCTTATAAGCAGTTAAACATACTAAATGCACATTTCTAAATGTGGAGGGAAAAAAGCGGAGGACCCGGAGAAAAATCCATGTGACCATGGGGAGAGAGACACACAAACTCCGAATATATGGCAGGTGTCAGGATCGGGGTCGAACCCACGACCTCCAATACCCAGTGAACCAGTTAATATCTCCTACCATGGTGTAATGAGCAGCACACTGAACGTGCAATGGAAAGGAAGCTGGCTCAATGGTGCCCACCTATGTCCACGCCGCAGTGCGGATTGGTACACCGGTTAGTCGATTGTCAGGTGGTGGGTGGCAGGGTGAAGTGTGGGTACTTCCACCTCTCCAAGACACAAGAATCAGAATTGTTATCTACAATGGACGAATCGGTGAGCTCTGAAACTCTTTTTCACAGATGTCCCCATCTGGCCAGCGTGGCTTGTTGTGTGTTAGTCTGGTGTCAATTCCCTCGCACCTCCGATTAGCATGGTTGGCTTACATACGGTGGTGCCAAAGAAGTTCAATGTACGTACATGAAAATCTTTTTCAGACGGGTCCCCACCTGGCCAGAATGAACAGAGCGGCCAAATACCGCTCCCTACAGGGCTCTCCCTAGAGCCCCCTGCGATGGATGCCCATTTGCACCAGGAGTGGAGTGAGCGAAGCCACTGCTTACCTCCAAGGTGATGTTGGACAGGGGTACGGATGCCAAATTGACCAGACTGGTGGCATCAGGCCGCAGTTCCCGGATCTCTCCCTGGGTATCGCCACTCATGTAGATGCCGCTCGGCTGGAACATCATGCCCAGAACGTCCCAGGACTGTGGCACGGTGCCGGTTCGTGCAGTGGGGTGTCTCGCAACCTAGAGAGGGGGGACAAACGTGGTGTTCCACGTTGCAAGAGGGCAATATCACTGGCTAAGAATGCGAGCCTAAAATAAAATGGCGTCTTTAATTCAGGTCGACCGGGTTCCAGGTGGTCACAAGAGTGAATGGAGGTGTTGTTTACACCAATTTTTTTTTAGGTAATCATTACTTCTTTAACACGTACGCCTTCGCGACCAATATAACCCACAAGAGGTTTTTTGTTGGTAATTACTGGCAAAACGTCACGGTACTCAAGCTGTAAATGTTGCAGTGGGTTTACTCTCCAGCACACAACCGGTTAGTTTGTGCTGCACTAGCACTTTTGTTTACATGACACAATCCTTACCGATTGGCCGTGTCAAATGGTGGTGGTGAGTTAAACGAGACACATTTATATTTACGCAATCTAACCCAAACCGCCCCCTCTATTATGGATCATTCGTTTGACAATTCAGCCGTGGATCATCACAAATAAGCAACAAATACATGCGGATCTTATAGCTCATTTAAAATGGAAATACACTGCTATGTGAAGGCCTCCCCAGACCCTGTGTGGAGTTATTTGACTATACTTCATCATGCTGGTGAGGGTCGATGTTGATGAATGCGGGAGATGTGGGAGAGGCAGGTGTGGTGAGGGGGGGGGATAAAGAGGCATAGAAGCACAGCACAACAATTGATTTTGTAACACTGCTTTCTTCCGACTACTGGGGTGAGCGGGCATTTGCTGTCGCTGCGCCATGGTTGTGGAATTCTCTTCCATGGGAAATTCGTTCATCTGATAATGTGGGCACTTTTAAGTCTCGTCTTAATAACACAACTTATTAAGTCAGTATATTATTGACTTAAAGCTTTCATGACTGCAGGAATTCATATTCTTTGGGTCTTTCGGTAAAGTCACGTACATAGGTTAAAAAAAACTATGACGTTTCGATCGCAACACAAGCGGTCGTCATCAGGAATAGTTGTGTGGAAACCCTCCCTATAGAGACAGTTAAATCTTGACTTAAAGCTTTCGTGACTGCAGGAAATAATATTATTTGGGTCTTTTGGTAAAGTCACGTAGATAGGTTCAAAGAAAATGACAAAAAAATAACAAAAAAACTACGACGTTTCAATCACAACACAAGCGTTCGTCATCAGGAAGAGGGGGTTAGCTTCTCAAAAACGTAGTCGTAGTTTTTTGTTATATTTTTTTTATCATTTTCTTTGAACCTATCTACGAGACTTTACCGAAAAACCCAAAGAATATCAGTTTAATCTATTTAACTTCTCCTCTCTTGGCCCTTTCATTATTCTTACAAGGTGCCTTGAGACATTCGTAAAGGGCGCCTTACAGATAAAATGAAAATTGTTGTTATTATAACCAGTTCATGAAGCCTATTTTCGCCAGGCAAAAGTTTTCAATAAATATAATAATGAACCTGATATTATTTTTTGACGATTTGTATCTACGACCAGACACTAACAACTATGGTCCTCCAAAAATTGGTATTTTTCCGCAAAAAAAAAATTGTTGACAACTTGATTCCGTTCTTTTTTTATTAGAAAGATAAAAAATGAATCAACTTAATACTCTATAAGGCGAAGCTCTTCGATATTTTACCGTTTTAGAATTATTCAGATTTCAACATCATAAAATGCGGCTTTTTCGTTAAAAACTGCTTGAATCCGAAATATTAAAAAAAACAATATTAGATGGAACAATGGTTCCCACTTTAATTTTATCTGCCGTTAAACGCTCTATCAAACGAAAAAAATGCAATGTTATATTTTCAATGGTTTCTGAATGACATGCACAAACATAATTATGGGGCACTTAAAATCGAAAGTTGTGGTCTGTAAAATGAAACATCTAGGATTTTCCGATTTTTTTGCTGTTGTTTGCACCCTAAAAGCTACCTATGTACCTGTGGCAGTCAGAGAAGGATAGCCTTGGGGACAGGGTGTCTTTTGATTGGGGAGGAGTTCGGATTAACACGAGCATGATGAATTGGACTTATTTGAGCACGCCGCGCTAACCTATTTAGAGAACAAAGGGCATGACTTGAGACCATGCTGACTACGGTTAAACTCCTCGTTCACAGAAAGAGAGTCGGCCGTGTCGGTGTGTCATTCCAGCGACCATCGTCTTGGAGCCAGGAGTGTTGGTGACAACAACTTGCTGGCCTGTGAGCGTGATCGACTCGGGTTTGCCAGTGTCTCATCCCAGCAACCTTCGCCTCTGAGCCAGGAGTGGATCGTCACAAAGGACCACCTGCCGCTGCCGTCAAAGTGGTCCTCCGCATATGCTGGGGACTGCGGGGCATTGGCAGCTGAGTATCAGAGGACCGTCACGTAGACAACGGGTAAGGGAGCGAAGGAGAGCCACACGCCAGGTAGGGGCGTGGCATCAAAGGGAAAGTTCCTGGGCTGACTAAAGCCAAACCTGACCCGGAGCACGAGGGGTAGGATGGGCACTTAGACAATGGGTGAGGAAGCAAAAGGAGCTGAGCAACAACAGCATTAGTGGCTCTCCACGGGGGGGGGGGGGGGGGGGGCATGGGTAAGCGCCCGACCTGGCGGATTACGAAGAATGCTGAGGCACTGTGTGCCTGTCTCTCTCCATGTGTCTCTGTGCTAACTCGTTCTGCTTGGATGTGTATATATGTGTATGCGGTCTGTATATTTTTTAGAATTTAAATTTCACACTTAACTTACAATTTAGCAATGTTTGAAATAACGTAATCAACCTGACCTTGCGTTAATTGTGTTTTGACCGACCCTCTGTGTTGCGTTATATGATTTCCAAATCTTGCTAAAACCTGTTTGATTTAGTGTGCTCCCACGTTTCTCTCTCTCTGTATCCCCTGTTGTATCTGTGTCTGTATATATATGTCTGCGGTTATGTGTCTCCTCTCTCTCGTAAATTTAGCTCTTCCGTACCTGATGATGATTGCTTGTGTTGCAATCGAAACGTCGTACACTATTATGTTATTTTATTATTTCTACGTGACTTTACCGAAAAAAAACAAAGAATAATTCCTGCAGTCACGAAAGCTCCAAATTCAAGTTTCAATGCTGAGGCACACAGGGTAGCGCCCCGATTGGCTGAGAGGGCAACCCAGCTTAGCCAGAGATCTCTTTGATGTGGGAAGGCATAAAAGTGGGGAAGAGGACAACCGTAGCTGACTTCTCCTCAAGTCAGCAAGCGACGCAGTCAGACTTCCAGCCGCTCGAGCGTACGAGTGACGCTGGCGAGCGGAGCTAGGACACGACCCAGGCAGAGACCTCCTGGACCCTCGTCCTTCCAACTCCCAGCACGTCCGTGAGAAACCGTGAGTACATAAGTGGGGTGAGGAATAGCGCGAGGGTTCCCAGAGGGTTTTGGGGTTTTGGAAATAAATAGGTGGGACGCTGCTCGATAGATGGTTTTGCTCCGGGCCACGCAGGGCTTTTTTTTCAGGTACCACATTAATAAACTTTACCGCAGAGCGACGATGCCGCGTGATTTATGTGTGTGTGGAGAGAGCGTGGGGGTGGTGTGGGTCCGTGCATACGTGTGAAGCTTGCGTGCATTCAATCATAAACGATCGTTGGCGTTCGCGTGCGTGCGATCGCGAGTGTATTTGTCTAGCGTTTTGCGCAGGGGATTAGCGCGCGTATATGGCCATCAACTGTTTATTTACATTATGAGACCTCCCTTGACAGTAACAAAATATAGTAATAGGTTTTACCCTTTTAACTGGCACAAAAACTGACCCCTTTATTCAAGGCATCATGTTTTCAATAATCACAACACAAGCAGTCAAAATGCAAATAAAAGAGACAACTCTGATAATAATACGCACTGTCCTTGAAATTGATTGGTCCACACCCGAGACGGCTTTTCTTAGAGCCTAGTCTCCACTGGTGTTGGACCAGAAGACGCCAAAAGGCGTACAACTCAAAAACAGCGCACTATCAGAGTTTTGAGGGCTTGGGGTGAGCATTTACATTATGAGACCTCCTTTGCCAGTAACAAAATATAGTAATAGGTTATACCCTTTTAACTGGCACAAAATTGTAAATGTTGTGGATTCATTCTTCAACATACCGGTGGGTTAAAGTAGTGAACTATTTGTCTTTTGGCAACGTGACACATTTTTTACTGATTGGCCATGTCGGGTGGTGGAGGGTTGCGACACATTTATCAATAACGCAATCTCACCTAAAAACTTTTATTTTGAATAATATTGGTCGCGAAAGCCTACGTCTTAAACCAAAAGAAAGAAACTTACCGCTTGAAAATGTCCTTTTTCGTACGAGGTCGGATAAAAAATCACCACAAAATGGGTGCGATTTTTGCTGAGCGTCACACTCTCAATGGTCCTCGTGAAATCTTGATGGACAATGCTGCGGCAGAACATCATAGAATCTTAGTTGTGATAAATCGGCAAAATGCAATGCACCATAGGGGAGGGGGGGGGGGGGCACCGTGTGTACACGTGTCTCTTGATTGACGAAAGGGAATCTTATCATATCTCAAATGAATCTATATAGTGCCTTATCTAAAGCACTTTACACAGAATTAACAATAGTACATACGGATGTGATGTTGGAGATAAGGTGAATGAAATAGATTAGAGGAAGCAATGGGGGAAAATCTTTGAGGCTGCGTGGATTCGGTGAAAGGGAAATTGATGGCAGTAAATGACTAGTGGATTGAATGAATGGGGGTTAATGAGTCAAAGCCTGAAAGCCGTATAATGAGAATATGAAGAGTGAAAAGTAATGGTGGTGGCGGTTGTGAGGGGGACATTGAGGGGGTCATGGGGTGAGCTAGGGAACAATAAGTGCGAGTTTTTGAGTGCGGAGTGGAAACCATGCCAGCCGTGGGCAATCCACTGCTGGATGAAGGCCGCCTAAAAGCTTCTGGCCTTTCTCTCGCAATCCTGCAATGCAACCATCTGCCTAGCAAACTATGCGCAAGCCGATATCGTCGCTCCCTTCACTCAGTGGACGTCGTCGCTCCCTTTGTGAACGCCTTCTCGCGGTATCTCACCACCCAAGCACAACTTTCTCACCCACCAACCCGGTGTGCCTGGATTCGAATTAACGATGTCCATTTTGCCAACACGACAATATTGCGTTCAAGGAAACACATAAGCAACCATAATCAGGTGAAACAAACAGCAGGAGAACTGCTGACGTAGGAGTTCTCCTGCTGTGTTTGTTTCACCTGATGACGGTTGCTTATGTTGTGATCAAAACATTGTGATCTATTAATTTTCGATCTACGTGACTTTACCAACAGAACCAAAGAGTATGTATAAAAACATTTTATTTTACCAGTTAAAGCAAACTGAGCTATTTAGCTTTTTTTCAGAAGCGACCTGATCACAAATGATAGCTTAACGAAGTGGCTTATCATGTGGAAATTTATAGCAGTCAAATACTCTTAACGCATGTTTCGAAATGTGGAGGGGAAAACTGGAGGACCTGGAGAAAAATCCACGTGACCACGGGGAGAACATGCAAACTCCAAATATACAACAGTGGGGAGTGGCGGTACAGCGGTTAGCGCGCTGCGCTAAGAACCAGGCGACCCAAGTTTGATTCCCGCTCATGGCCACCAAAACCAGTGACAGTGATTATCTGATCCAGATCTGTGCCTCCCCTAGGTCGACTCAGATCGTCTAAGCATCAAGTGAGTACCTAGAGCGATGTGTAGTTAAACATCGGCACTGGGGAGACAAAGGTGGTCGGCTGAGGTGGCTGACCACCCACCCCCTCGTGGGCCACAGTGCCGGCCTTTATAAGTGCTACTCGCAAACAGCACTTGCTCCTACAGTCTGTTAAGGCTACACAGGGTGGGGGGATCTTTGTATAAACAACAACTCAACGGAGGCTGCGGCGAACCGCAAGATGACGGACGTTCGTCACTCACTCCACAGCGATGGGAACCTGCGCGCCTCCTCCTGTGACGCCATCCCGGTATGCCACAAACCCCGACAGCACGACCCGCGTGGGGGCGGAGAAAACCGCGGGGGACACCGGGTACAGCTGGGCAGTGTACGACGGCTCCACGGTCACGTGCCAACTGCATAACGGACAGAGAAATGTGTCAGTCTTAACGCTTTCGCTCTCTTCACTGGAACAAACTTCACCTCCACATTAGGCAGTCACCTTCACTCACATAGTTTCCACTCCGCACTAAAAACTCACACTTATTGCTCCCTAGCTCACTCCACGACCCCCTCAATCTCCCCCTCATAACCGCCACTGTTACTTTTCCCTCTTCACATTCTCATTATATTGCTATCACTCATTAACCTCATTCATTCAAACCATTAATCATTTACTGTCATCAATTTCACTTTCAAATTCACGCATTACAGATTTGCCACCCATTGCTTCCTCTCATCTATTCATTCACCTCGTCTCCACCAGCACATCCTGTCCCATTATTAATTCTGTGCAAAGTGCCTTGGAGAAAGGCACTATATAAATAATTATAAGTTAAGAAAGCAGCGGCAAAGTGTGGTTGCGTTAACTTTGACTATGATCTTGTATTTCAAGATCACAGTGGAATAGCAATGAGCGAATTTGGAAAAACAAATGTGCGTGGTTCCTGGGCAATTTACCCTCATCGGAATCCAGCCACAATGGTGAAAGGGTGATACCCCCAAAACTTCAACTGACATACACACCAGAGTCAAAACGCAAAAGAGTACAAATGCATTTTGTCCGGACAACTATGCGATGGTTTTTGCACCGTCAGTTGAATGCTTCCGAGGACGAACGCACGTTGGAAAGCGTTAAAGCGCGTGTGCGCGAAAGGGGGAACGCAAACCCATGCACCGTGACTTGCTGTGCATGCAAATGTGAGTTTGCATTTGTCGGTTGTCCATTCTTTAAGTACAGTTAGAACCCCTCTTATCGACCACCCCTGTTAACGACTAATCGCTTAACAGCAGGCTTCTATAGAGTCCAATGTGTAGTATATAGAGGTGTATTGTATAAAAGTGTAGTGTATAGTGTTTTACAGTGGAAGCCCCCTTAACAACTACCCCTGTTAACGACGCGCTGTTGTAGGTAGAGTAAATATTAATTAATACCTTGATAAACCATGTTTCTTTTAATATTATTTGTTTTTAATGTTATTATTAAGTTACCATTCCCTGATGTTTTCATTGAGAAGAGACTTGATGGCTCATTGGGATATTTTGTCTACAGGAAAGCCACCCACACGGATGCCAATCTAAAGTCTGACTCCCACCACCATCCAGCCCAGAATAATTCCCTCATCAAAACACTACACCATAGGGCCCATTGCATATCCGACCAGCACCACCTAGCCAGTGAGCTGGAGCACGTACACCAAGCCCTCAAGATAAATGGATAATCTGACCGTACAATCCGCAAAGCTGTCTCCCCAGCCATGGGGAGACAACCATCTGAGGACTCAATCAAAACGATCACCTTGCCATACATAGCAGGGGTTATCAAAAATATTTCCAAAATCTTAAACACAAGATCCAGGTTCGTTTCAACACAATACACAAAATCAGTGATTTGATCCCATCTCTAAAGGATATGATTCCTGACATGCAATATCCTGGTGTCTACAAATTAAGTTGTGGCTGCGGCAGCAGTTAGATTGGAGAAACTAAACGACGTCTCGGACCGTGTTCGCGAACACAAGGCAGATCTGAAGCACGCTAGGACCAATACCTCTGCCGTTGCAGATCTGAAGCACACCAATACCTCTGCCGTTGCAGAACATTGTTTTTTTCTTCTTGGATTTTCTGTTTGCACAGTCACATAGTCACTTTAAGATGTTTTTCTTGTTCGTGTTTTTTGTTTGTTGTGGTTGCACCCGATTCAAGAGCCGAATGGCTCACAGGGCTATACCAAAATAAATGAACTGAAACTGAAAACGCTTTGGGCACACGCGAAATTGATTTTCCCAAGACCAATGTACTTTGCAAACCCACTGGCTATCATCAAAGATCTGTTCATGAAGCCATACAGATATATAAACACAGCCACAACTTCAACCGAGAAGATGGGTACAAATTGAGCAATCACTGGAAGGACGTGATTAACCAGGTAAAGGCTTAACCTGCAGTGATGTTTCCATCCTTCCTGGGATTTTAGTTGACTCTCTGAGATGCATTATTAAGGTGTCTTTATATTGACAGGCTGGATGTCCTTCTCGCTCAGTCATGGATGCTGCGACATACTAGGCAAGTGTCACCGATGCTGCGGCATACTAAGCTCGTGCATTGACATACTAATCTTTCACAATAGAATAGCCATTTCCACAGCATCATGCAGACCATCTCTAGACCCGCCCTCTTACCCTGAGGCTGCACCCATCTCAGGCCTATATAAGACCTTGTTTCAGTAGCTTTCTATGTCACCTGAAGACGGTTGCTTGTGTTGCGATCGAAACGTCGTATTCTATTAATTGTCTATCTACGTGACTTTACCTAAAGAACCAAAGAGTATCTTTATGTATTAATATCCACAATTTAAATATTATTAAGTACATTTTTTGGGTACAAAAGGGTAACTTTCGATGCTATTGAAATTAATGAAGCCTTTCACGTGTATTTCGTATACTCGCTTAACGACCAAAATCACTTAATGACCGGTTTCGTGGAACCAATAACCGTCGTTAAGAGGGTTTCTGCTGTATGTAAAAAAAGATAAATCAAACCTCTGCCTCCCTCCTTCCACCCGCCACCGTCTCCGCCTCTGCTACTCCCACCGCCGCTTTCCGTACCTTGCCGTAGACATGCCGACCGCGTTGAAGACTTTCACTTCCACTGCATACGGCTCTGCGCGTGCGATCGCCGAGTTCCACAGCACAGCCGCGCCGTCGAGGATCATGCCGCTCGGAGCGACGCTCAGTTGCCACATGACTGGGGTGGTGCCCTTGGAATGCAGAAAGGATTTCAGTTAGCCTCTCTGGAGGCATCTGGGATACGCCGCGTATGAGGACAGAGTCAGGTTTTAAAAGAACATGGGGAATCCATTCCTAAATAACACATTTAAATACTATGAAAATTACGAATAGGTTTTACCCTTTCTGAAAATAAAACAGGCGTTAAGATGTTCAAACACCAAATAGATATTGCTGCTGCGAGGATGACCGGAGTTCGCATGACGGTGGTTGATAGCTCCTGAACGAGGTCTGCGAGGCACTGTGGTTCAGCAAGAAATTGTAAATAAAGAATGCGCATGCCCCATTACGTCGGACCACACGTTTGCTGGTGGAATCTACCACGTGTCGAATATGTAAATGAAGACAATATTAAAAGGAAACGTAGAAGGACGTACAACTATATTCTTGGTTCTTTTCGGTAAAGTCACGTAGAAGGGAAACAATAAAATAATAAAAATATAAAACAATACAATTATCACGACGTTTCGACTGCAACACAAGCAATCATCATCAGGTGTGAAAACCACAGCAATAAAATTTGAAAAAAGTGGCGTTTTTTTTAACGTTAGCACCACGGAGAGCGATTTGACAGTTATTTAAATGGACGAGTCCATCTATGTTCATCTGAATAACTGCCAAATCGCTCTCCGTGGTGCTAACGTTAAAAACAACGCCACTTTTTTCAAATTGCTGTGGTTTTCACACATGATGATGATTGCTTGTGTTGCAGTCGAAATGTCGTGAGAATTTTATTGTTTTATATTTTTATTATTTTATTGTTTCCCTTCTACGTGACTTTACCAAAAGAACCAAGAATATGAATCCCTGCAGTCACGAAAGCTTTAAATCAAGACGTAAAACTATTTTATTATTATTTCTTTTCCACCCAGGATGAAGGTGGGTGTTGGTGGGCTTTAATGCTTGTAAAAATCATTGGTGTAAATTATTATTACCATTACATTTGTTTACCCATGAATAAGCCTCACTGAGTCTCATGAATGTTTATTTTCATGAGGGGACCTGCCAAGTTCTTGGAGCAGGTTGTGACAACGATCACTGCGTTTTCTCATCAAGCGATGCCTTTTTCACATTTGGGAAAAATTTCGACTCGAATGATACCTCGGGTTATTTTACGCCCCCCCCCTGCCACCCTCGCTGCCGTGCGTGAAGCAGATGGTAATTTTTTTACTGCGAAGATACCGGTGGTTATCAACCAGGGCGGCCTGGCGAACTTTTCACAACAAGAAATGTGCCCCAACGCACTCCACAAACCCAAAGGTCCTGCGGCTGTCCTGTCGACCCCCCTCCCCCCCCCCCCCCGTTCTCTGCTCCCTCGTCACAAAGATGGAAACCTTCAGGAGTTGAAGAGATTCGCCGTAGCTCTGCCCTTCCACCACGACGGCGTCGGCAACGATCTTCAGCGCCGGCGGCAGGTACTCGAACTCACAGTCATCGCCGTACCATGGGAGGCTGCAGATGCACCGCCCGAATGAGCAGATGCCATGTGGAACATCAAGGTCTCTACCGCACGCGTTCGTGGGGCACTGCTGGTAAAAGGTGAACAGCACCTGTGCAACGAGAAAGGAAACATGAGAGAGAGAGAGATTTCTGTTCATAAGAGGTTTTTTTTTGTTGGGTTAGATCGTGTACATAATATGTATCGTTAAACCCGCCATCAACACCTCACACAGCCAATCAAGGATTTGTGACGTAAACAAAACGTGCCAATTAGTTACTAGTACATCACACCGGTATGTTGGAGAGTAAACCCACAAAATTTACAATTCGACAAAGATTTCTGTCATTTGTCCATCGTCCCCCACCAATTTTCAGAATCGGAACCTCAATCTGAATTAACACTGGAGCAGGAGGAATCTATCTTGATTTTAAGCTTCGGTGACTGCAGGAATCCATACTCTTTGGTTATAGCATGTTAATCTGTAATTTGCATGTAAATGTAAAATACGTGTGCCTGACGACTATGGTGCTAAAGAGGCGGCCATTGTATTGCTAGAGATTAGAGATTAGCATGTCAATGTGAGATGGCTCCCGCAGCAGCGGCTGTGTTAATGAGAAGATTGGCATGTCAGTGTCAGAGAGCCATGCACAATGCCAACTCGTGGGCAACAATAGCTGCGGCATTGGCCGCTGCACTGTGAAAGACCAGCATGTCAACGCAAGAGAACCACCGTAACAGTGGCCGTGCCAGTGAGACATTCAGCCTATTAAACAACGAGAGCCACCGCCACATCGAGGAAAAGGGAACAGTGACTATGTTAGTGAGACATTTAGCCTGTTAATGTAAAGACATTTAACAAGGGAATGTAACTCAGAGAGTCGGAAATAACTGCTAACATCAGCAGGTAGGATGGAAGCTTCAAAGCCAGTTAATGCTTTGCCTGGTTAATAACATCCTTCCAATGATTGCTCAGTTTGTACCCGTCTTCTCGGTTGAAATTTTGTCTGTGTTTTTTATCTGGATGGCTTCATGAACAAATCTTTGTTGATAGCCGGTGGGCTTGAAGAGTACCTTCGTCTTGGAGAAACCAATTTAATGTGTGCCCACAGCATTAAAACAATGATCAGCCATGGACGAGGTATTGGTCCTACCGTGTTTCAGATCCGCCTTGTGTTCACGAACACGATCTGAGACATGTTGCTTAGTTTCCCCAATGTAACTATTGCCACAGGCACAACTTAGTTTGTAGACACCGGGGTATTGAATGTCAGGGATCACATCCTTCACAGATGGGATCAGATCACGAATTTTATGTACTGTGTTGAATCGAACCTGGATCTGGTATTTGCTCATGATTTTGGAAATATTTTTGGTGACCCCTGCTATGTATGGCAAGGTGATGGTTTGATTGGGTCCTCAGATGGTTCTCTCCCAACGGTTGGGGTGATAGCTTTAAGGATTGTGCAGTCCAAATATCCATTCATCTTGAGGGCTTGACATACGTGCTCCAGTTAACTGGCTAGGTGGTGATGGTCGGAAATGCAACAAGCCCTATGGTGTAGAGTTTTGATGAGGGATTTCTTCTGGGATTAATGGTGGTGGGAGTCAGGTTTTAGATAGGCATTCGTGTGGGTGGCTTTCCTGTAGACAGTGTCCCAATGAGCCACCTGGTCTCTTTTTGATTAAAAATCCAAGAATGGTAACTTGCCATCCTTTTTTACCTCCATGGTGAATTTGATTAGTGGGTGTATGGAATTGATGTGGTTGAAGAATTGGTTCCATGCTGGCAGGCCATGTGGCCAGATGAGAAACGTGTCATCTACGTATCTCTTCCACAAGGAAGGAAGTAGGATGAATGCCTGGATGGCATCCGTCTCACATTTTTCCATGAAAACATTGGCTACCACTGAAGATAAGGGAGAACCATTTAGGTTACCTACAACTTTTCGATTTAAAGCTTTTGTGACTGCAAGGATTCATCTTCTTTGGTTCTTTCGGTAAAGTCACGTAGAATGAGAATAAAATAAAATAATAAAATAAAACAATTTTATTCTCACGACGTTTTGGCCACAACACAAGTAGCCGTCCTCAGGTGAAGAAACAGGACTGTCCAGAAGACAGCGCTTGAGTGAACCCTGTCAAGCTTGACAGCGTCTTTTAAGCTGTGTGGGAGGAACAGAGAGCCTTGACAAAGGAGCAATAACTGGGAGATTAGCATTACGGAGAGCGAACGAGCTGGGACTGGAGGAGGGAGGGGGAGTTTACATGTAAATTAGCATGTAACTCGGGGATCAGCATGATGTTGGTGTGAGGGATTAGCACCACAGTGAACGACGAGCTCGGACCGGGGGATGGGGGGAGAGGAGTTTACATATAAATTAGCATGTAACTGGGGGATTAGCGTTGGTGTGAGGGAGAGAAGAGCACCAAAGAGATAAAAAATGGCTGTTTTTCCGATCTCCTCAACAACCAGCACCAAAGACAGTGACATTCAGGTGGACAGGTCAATCCATACTCGGAAGGGAGGAGGGGGGAGGGAGAAACAGTCACAATGCCAGCGAAAGAGCTGCGGTCTGACGGTCACTGCAAAATACAATTAATTAAGAACCGAAATGGTTTAGAACATCTTTCCAATGGTTACTAAGCCAGAATCCATCCTCTCGGTTGAAATTGTCTTTGTGTTTGTATATGTGGATGGCTTCATGAACGAATCTCTCATGGTAACCGGTTGGCTTGCAAAGAACTTCCGTCTTGGAGAAATCAATGTCATGTGAACCCATTGAATTATAACAGTGATCTGCCACGGCAGAAGAGTTCGTTCTGCCGTGTTTAAAGTCTGCTTTATGTTCGCGGATACGGTCCGAGATATGTCATTTGGTTTCCCCAATGTAGTTGCTACCACAGAGGCACTTCAGTTTGTAAACGCCCGGGTACTGTGTGTCTGGAACAGCATCTTTTACAGATGGAACCAGATCACGGATTTTATGTACTGTGTTGAATCGGACCTGGATCTTGTGTTTATTTTAGCAACCCCTGCAATGTAGGGTAAGGTGATGGTTTTGAGTGGCTCCTCAAGAAGATCCTTCTTCATGACCGGAGTGATGTCTTTGCGGATTGTGTAGTTGGAGTAACCATTAGCCCTGAGAGCCTGGTGTACGTGTTTGAGTTCACTGGCAATGTGTTCCTGGTCGGAAATGCATTGAGCTCTATGGTATAGAGTCTTGATGAGGGAGTTCTTCTGGGATGGATGGTGGTGGGAATCCGGTTTCAAGTAAGCATCTGTATGGGTATCTTTTCTGTAGACAGAGTGGCTCATTGTGCCATCAGGTCTCCTTTTAATTAAGACATCCAAAAAGGGTAGCTTGCCATCTTTTTCGACCTCCATGGTAAATCTAATGGCTGGGTGTATGGAATTGATGTGGTCGCGGAATTGGTCTAGAGCAGGCTGGACATGTGGCCAGATGACAAAAGTGTCATCCACATACCTCTTCCATACGGTCGGGCATAGAGTGGCAGTCTGGATGGCGTCAGTTTCAATTTTTTCCATGAATACGTTGGCTACAACCGGAGACAGGGGGGAGCCCATTGGGGTGCCCTCAGTTTGTTTGTAGAAAGTACCATTCCAGTCGAAGTATGTGTTGGTTAAGCAATGTCTCACCAGGGGGGGTACATCAGTATGTAGTCCTTGATGGACCAGGTCTTCAATGATAGCGATGGTGTCAGGTACCAGAACTTTGGTGAACAAGGACACCACATCAAAACTGACAAGCAGGTCGTCTGGGGACAGGGAAATGCCTTTGATTGTTGATACTAGGTGAGTGGAATTTAGTACCGCAGAGGTGGTTTTTCCAGTGAAAGGTCGCAGTATATCAGCAGGAAAACGTGCCCGTTTATAGGTGGGGAAGTTGATAGTAGAGACGATGGGACGAAGGGGTGTATCTTCTTTGTGTATCTTTTGAAGGCCATATAATCTTGGAGGTCTGGCAGCAGAGGGTTTCAACGAGAACTGTTTGGTCTGATAAATTAATGCTGTTGAATCAGAGATTATTTTGTTCGTTTTGGTAACCAGGCTGTTGGTGGGATCTCTTTTTATTTTTGTATAGCTGCCATCGCTGAGTAGTTCTTGAATTTTGTTGTTATATTCTGTTTTATCTTCTTTGGTTCTTTCGGTAAAGTCACGTAGAATGAGAATAAAATAATAAATTGATAAAATTTTATTCTCATTCTATGTGACTTTACCGAAAGAACCAAAGAAGATGAATCATTGCAGTCACGAAAGCTTTAAATCGAAATATTCTGTTTTGTCCATGATGACAGTGGCATTGCCCTCACACCAACATCGTGCTGATCCCCCAGTTACATGCTAATTTACATGTAAACTCCCCCTCCCTCCTCCAGTCCCAGCTCGTTCGCTCTCCGTAATGCTAATCTCCCAGTTAATGCTCCTTTGTCAAGGCTCTCTGTTCCTCCCACACAGCTTAAAAGACGCTGTCAAGCTTGACAGGGTTCACTCAAACGCTGTCTTCTGGACAGTCCTGTTTCTTCACCTGAGGACGGCTACTTGTGTTGTGCCGAAACGTCGTGAGAATTTTATTGTTTTATTTTATTATTTTATTCTCATTCTACGTGACTTTACCGAAAGAACCAAAGAAGATTACCTACAACTTGTTTGTAGAATGTACCATTCCAGGTGAAGTAAGTGTTGGTGAGGCAGTGTCTCACCAGGGCCAATACATTAGCATTCAGTTCTTATAGGAATAGGTTTTACCCTTTTAACTGGCACAAAAACTGACACTTTATTCAAGGCATCATGTTTGCAATGACCACAACACAAGTAGTCAAAATGCAAACAAAAAAGACAACTCTGATAATAATATGCACTGTCCTTGAATTTGATTGGTCCACACCCGAGACAGCTTTTCTTAGAGCCTAGTCTCTATTGGTGTTGGACCAGAAGATGCCAAAAGGCGTACAACTCAAAAACAGCGCACTATCAGAGTATTGAGGGCTCGGGGTGAGCATTAACATTATGAGACCTCCTTTGCCAGAAACAAGATATAGGAATAGGTTTTACCCTTTTAACTGGCACAAAAACTGACACCTTTATTCAAGGCATCATGTTTGCAATGACCACAACACAAGCAGTCAAAATGCAAACAAAAAAACAACTCTTATAATAATATGCACTGTCCTTTTGGCGTCTTCTGGTCCAACACCAATGGAGACTAGGCTCTAAGAAAAGCTGTCTCGGGTGTGGACCAATCAAATTCAAGGACAGTGCATATTATTATCAGAGTTGTCTTTTTTGTTTGCATTTTGACTACTTGTGTTGTGGTCATTGCAAACATGATGCCTTGAATAAAGGTGTCAGTTTTTTGTGCCAGTTAAAAGGGTAAAACCTATTCCTATATCTTGTTTCTGACAAAGGAGGTATCATAACATTCAGTTCTTGTTGTTTACTTTACCAGGTAAGGTCCCATTGAGCTAAGTAGCTTCTTTTTCAGAAGCGACCTGGCAATCACTAATGATAGCTCAACAAAGTGGCTGATGTCAATATTACGTGGAAATCCACAGCAGCAAAATTATCTAAATGATGCACGTTTGCAAATTTTAACCTGAATGTAACATCGGCTTCAGCTCACGGGATGTGGTTAACCCGTCGGCTGTGGTGAAAATCCTCCATGTTAGAGAATGGCCTAGGTGAAGTGGATTATTTTTTGTTAACTACCACTTACCATTTTTATTGGTACCAAATAAGGACCCAATACTGAGTTATGTAGCTCCTTTTTAGAAGTGACCTGGACAATCACTATCACAAATAATAGCTTAACGTCAACATTTCTTGGAAATTTATTTCAGTAGTCAAATGCTCTAAACGCGCGATGTTGATTCTAAATATAGAGTAGAAACCGGAGGACCACGGGGAGACAAGACCGCAAAGTCCAAATATACAGCCAGTGTCAGGGTCGGTCGGGATCGAACCCACAACTTCTGTATGCCAGGTGAGGTAGTTAACATCTCCTAGCCACCGCGTACTCACAGTTGCACACAACAAAGACAAATATCCCCAATATAGCCTGAACAGACTGTTGGGGCAAGTGCTCTTAGCAAGCATCATGAAGGCCGGCACTGTGGTACACAAGGGGGTTGGTGGCCAACACCACATGCGACCGCCTTTTTCACCCTAGTGATGAGGTTTACACACTACTGCACCAGCTTACTCAATGGAGGCTGAGTCGACTTAGGGGAGGCTCAGAACAGGTTCAGATAATCGTCACTGGTGTTGGTGGCCATGAACAGGAATGAAACTCGGGTCGCTGGGTTCATAGCACAGTGTGCTAACCGCTACACCACCACTCCACCCAACAGCTGCATACACGCACACACACAAACACATACACAGACACGCACACACACACACAGATAGCCACTCACCGTGGAGGCAGTGAAGGAGCTCTGGCCACTGCGGCCTGGCGCCACATTGACGGACGCCGCCCCGGCCGCGTGCATGGGCGTCACGCAGCGCACCTGCTCACCAGAGAGCCACGTTCCCTCCACCACCTGGTCCCCGAAAGCGCAGCGGTAGCCCCCGTCTGTGGACGCATTCAAGTTGTGGCCCTGCAACGAAAAAACACGGAAGCTATAAAACAATAAACCCTATGGGAGCCCTAGTCTGGCTCTGTGAGCCTCAGTGATTAAAACTGAACCCTATGGGATCCTTAGTCCGACTCTGTGAGTCTCATTGATGAACACTGAACCCTATTGGAGCCTTAGTCTTACTCAATATAAACTAGAAACTATATTTTTATTTTACTAGGTAAGGCTCACCGAGCTATGTAACTCTTTTTCAGAAGCGACCTGGATATTACCAATGATAGCTCAACGAAGTTGCCTTTCATCGTGTGGAAATTTATAGCAGCCAAACACTCTAAACGCATGATTCTAAATATGGAGGGAAAACTGGAGGACCCGGAGAAAAATCCACACAACCATGGGGAGAGAGAAAGAGGCGAATTCCAAATATAGAATAGGCGTCAGGATGGGGATCAAACCCACAACCTCTTGTATATCACGCGAGGTAGTTAACATCTCCTAGCCACTGTGGCGCCCACAAGGAATGGGGGTGCATTATTTATTGTCATCATCATTATCAGCCATGGTCAATCCACTACTGGGAGAAAGCCTCCACACACAGTGCAGGTCATGGGGGTTGTTTGCCTAGACGTACATATGTGTGTACATACGTTGAACTTGTTTCGCACCGCACGTAGCCAACCCTACTCAGAGGTGCGGGGGAAGGACAATAAACTAGAACACAAAAGCAGTTATAAAGAAATTAGTTTTCTATTCAGTATAGTGGTGTAGTGTATAGTGTAGTGTACTGTGTCGTATGTATGTATAACTTGCATACATTCATCCCCTTATCAGTGCCTACCTTCTTACAGACCAATTCAAACCTTATTGGTCACCACGTGCCCTTATAAATCTCAACTTTAAATCCTACATAGTACTGCATTGAAACTGCTGTACGCCGTATGGAGCCGGGAACTCAATTTCCCTGTATAAGAATATGGGGTAAACCATATCGGTTGACAGCTATGAACATGTTATGCACCACATGTAGCCAACCGTGCGAATAAAAGGGTTCATGTAAAAAAAAATCCGCAGCAGTTACAGACCATGATGAGCACAAACGTGCCGCCAACGTCGGGCCCAGTGCTCGGGATCACGTCCAGCACCGTGGGCACAGGCAGGCAATCGCTTCCATACAGACCCTCGGCGCAGCGGTCGCAGAGCTTGCCTGCCCACTTCAGCTCACTGCACACGCATCGTCCTAACACAGATGAAAGCAGCCTTTTCTAATTGGCACATCTTGGCGTAATTTCAATCTGTCCAACGAACGCCAGTCTTTTTATATATACTGTGGTCCCTGGGTCCCATTGTTTCTATTAATAATAAGTTGATGTTTACAGGTTGGGGCCGCCAATTTCGGCCAATCGAAGCACTCCCTAAGTGGGACTTGGCAGACCTCAGCCAATCAGCGACCGCCCCTTTTATGAGCGTTTTTAGAGCATCGAGTGTGCGGCCATGAATTCCAAAACATCGACTGCATCATAACCACTCCACTGCTGCTGCTGTCTGCACTCCGTTAAAGGAGGAATGGACGATGATCCACTCTTGCTTCTGAACAGACAATTGAATGGATGACAACATATAAAATTACATATTGAATCTGCTATTAATCCACATGAAAGATAACATCTTTTAAATTCAATACCACGTCGAATGTCTCACTCACCTGTGTTAAGGTCACAATGTCCATGAACGCAGAGAGGGCACTGCAGGCACGAGGGCCCCCAGAATCCATCCTGGCAAACGGAGCAGTCCAGTCCGGCAAAATATCTGTAACACAAGCACCTGCAACAACAACAAAAAAACCAACCCCCAAATTGTGGACTCGCTTGATAATAGAGCTCTCTCTCTCTCTAAATCAATGGCCACCGTCCTGATTTTGACATACGCAAATAACGTGCACCATACTGCAATCCACAATCATACAAAAACGTAATTATAAGCAAGTGTAGTGGGTACAGATGGAGACTAAGGCTTCTCTTAGAGGCAACACGTTTATTACAGATAACCCTACAACACAAAGAGGTACTGCCCATTCACCAGGTAACCTAAGGGGGTAGACCCCACGGGCTAGCTACCCTCAATACACGAAGTGGGCTATCGCGGACCGGACCCCAGCTTGGGTCCGTGTCCTGTAGTCGGAGCTCCTCTTCCAGGCGAGGACGTGGGTTTCTTCATCCCGAAAACAGCAGCCTGTGCCGCCCAGGGCTCCCGCTTATAACCTGTGTGGCAGGGCTCGCTCCGCCCCTAGCCACGCCCACCTTCTCAAAACCCCGAGAAGGATCTTACCTGGGTACGTGATCACCCCAGGCCCCCCCTTTGAAAGGTCCCACGTGGGTACCTCTGGTCACGTGCCCTCTGGGTTCAACTAGAGTGCCATGGCACCTTTTGAACCCATGCCTCCCCCAACTGGCTTCACACAGTGACATGCAGTGACATCCAACGATGTCACTACACCAGGTTAAATTTTCCCCACTCTGTTTTTGTTTGCAGAAATACTGCCAAGGCGATGTCACGGATACCAGGTGCGCATTATTTGATGTCAATGACAATTTTGTCCTATTCTTAGCTCTTTCGGTAAAGTCCCGTTGAAGGGAAACAATAAAATAATAAAATATATATAAAACAATAAAAATTATCGCGACGTTTCGACCATAACACAAACGGTCGTCATCAGGTGTGTCGGTTTGCATTAATTTATTTTTAAACGGTGTATTTATTTATAAAAAACGTCAGCGCCATGCGCAGCGATTTGACAGTTTATTTAGAAGGACTAGTTCATCTATGTTCTGAAAAGAGGATGGGGGAGACGACAAATTAATGTATGCTGTCTGAAAGCCACTGTAAGCGTGAACAATCAATTAAGACCTGAAATGGTTAATCAAATCTTTCCAATGATTGCTAAGCCAGAATCCATCTTCTCGGTTTAAATTGTCACGGGGCTTGTATATGTGGATAGCCTCATGAACGAATCTCTCATGGTAGCCAGATGGCTTACAAAGAACCTCTGTCTTGGAAAAGTCAATGTCATGTGAGCCTACTGAATTATAACAATGATCTGCCACGGCCGAGGTGTTGGTCCTACCGTGTTTAAGGTCTGCTTTGTGTTCACGAATGCGGTCCGAGACATGGCGTTAGGCTTCTCCAATATAACTACTACCACAGAGGCAACTTAGTTTGTAGACACCAGGGTACTGTATGTCCGGAATCACATCTTTTACAGATGGAACCAGATCACGGATTTTATGTAAGGTGTTGAAACGGACCTGGATCTTGTGTTTATTCAAGATTTTGGAGATCTTTTTTGTGATCCTGCAATGTAGGGTAAAGTGATGGTTTTGAAAGGCTCCTCAAGGGGGTCCTTCTTCATGGTTTGAGTGAAAGCTTTGCGGATTGTATAGTCGGAGTAACCATTAGCCTTAAGAGCTTGGTGTACGTGATTGAGTTCACTGCCTATGTGTTCCTGGTCGGATATGCATTGGGCTCTATGGTATAGAGTCTTGATGAGAGAATTCTTCTGTGATGGATGGATGGTGGTGGAAATCCGGTTTCAGATAGGCATCCGTATGGGTAGCTTTCCTGTAGACAGAGTGGCTCATTGAACCATCAGGTCTCTTTTTTATTAGGACATCCAAATAAGGTGGCTTGCCATCTTTTTCGACTTCCATGGTAAATCTGATGGCTGGGTGTATGGAATTGATTTGGTCGAAGAATTGGTCTAGAGCAGGCCGGCAATGTGGCCAGATGACAAAAGTGTCATCCACGTACCTCTTCCATAAGGTTTGCGCAGAGTGGCAGTCTGGATGGCGTCAGTCTCAAATTTCTCCATGAAAATGTTAGCTATAACCGGAGATAGGGGGGAGCCCATTGGGGTGCCCTCAGTTTGTTTGTAGAAAGTTCCATTCCAAGTGAAGTATGTATTGGTTAAACAGTGTCTCACCAGGGGGGGTACCTCAGTGTTTAGTCCTTGATGATCCAAGTCTTCAATGATTGCGATGGTGTCAGGTACAGGAACCTTGGTGAATAAGGAAACTACATCAAAACTGACAAGCAGGTCGTCTGGGGACAGGGAAATACCCTTGATTGTCAATACCAGGTGAGTAGAATTTTGTACCGCAGAGGTGGTTTTTCCAGTGAAAGGACGCAGGATTTCAGACAAAAAACGAGCCAGTTTGTAGGTGGGGGAGTTGATAGTAGAGACGATGGGACCAAAGGGTGTATCTACTTAATGTATTTTTGGTAAGCCGTATAATCTTGGTGGCCTGGCAGCAGAAGGTTTCAATGAAAACTGTTTAGATTGATCAATTAATGCGGTTGAATCAGAAATTATTTTGTTGGTTTGTGTGACGAGGCTGTTGTTTTATATATATGTTATATCATTTTATTGTTTCCCTTCAACGTGACTTTACCGAAAGAGCTAAGAATATGAATTACTGCAGTCACGAAAGCTTTAAATCAAAATTTAACCGCCTCTACGGGGAGGGTTTCCACATAACTTTAAGATCCTTCAACAATTACCATCGTCAAGTAATTCTTTACTTTTGTTGTTGTATTCTATTTTATCCATGATGACAGTAGCATTGCCCTTGTCAGCTGAGAGGACTACAATGTCATCCCTCTTTTTTAATTGATATAATTCAAAACGCTCATCTTTGCTGAGGTTGCTAGCTGGCATCTTAGCGTTTTTGAGGGTTGCAGCGATTTCAGATTGCTATGTCTGCAGCGATGTGACCCAGGCCCCTGAGAGCAACGTCTACTTGGGCAATTATATCATTAACTGGTATGTGTTTAGGTGTGACTGCAAAGTTCAGACCTTTAGCTAAAACGGATTTCAGACCATCGGAAATAGAACAGTTACTGCGATTAATTACGACTTTGTTAACGTCTAACTTTTTGGTTTGTGGGTCCAGTCTTTTATTTAAGAGGAGGTTAAATTTGGAAATCAGGTTGTCCTTACATTTGGTTGACATAGTAGCAGCTGAAGAGGCAGTCATATTGTCTACATGTTCCCAATCCGATGTGGACATTGTTGCCGTCAATGATAAGTGTGATTTGTAGAGTGTCTTGTCTAACTGATCTAGTTCGGTGCGTACAAGTCTGATTTTTTCTGAGATAAGAGCGAAGCTAGTTTTGAAAATAATTCATTTCGCATTAGAAGTTACAGCAGCAGAGGTCAGTGTAAATGCAATTGGTATTACCCCAGAGTCGCGGCATCTCTTCAGAAAGGTGAGAGACTCGATCAGCTGAGCCTTCTTATCCCGGAGTTTGTTGAAGGATCTTATAGTTATGTGGAAACCCTCCCCGTAGAGGCGGTTAAATTTTGATTTAAAGCTTTCGTGACTGCAGTAATTCATATTCTTAGCTCTTTCGGTAAAGTCACGTTGAAGGGAAACAATAAAATGATAAAATATATATAAAACAACAGCGTCGTCACACAAACCAACAAAATAATTTCTGATTCAACCGCATTAATTCATCAATCTAAACAGTTTTCATTGAAACCTTCTGCTGCCAAGCCACCAAGATTATACGGCTTACCAAAAATACATAAAGTAGATACACCCCTTCGTCCCATCGTCTCTACTATCAACTCCCCCACCTACAAACTGGCTCGTTTTTTGTCTGAAATCTTGCGTCCTTTCACTGGAAAAACCACCTCTGCGGTACAAAATTCTACTCACCTGGTATCGACAATCAAGGGTATTTCCCTGTCCCCAGACGACCTGCTTGTCAGTTTTGATGTAGTTTCCTTATTCACCAAGGTTCCTGTACCTGACACCATCGCAATCATTGAAGACTTGGTTCATCAAGGACTAAACACTGAGGTATCCCCCCTGGTGAGACACTGTTTAACCAATACATACTTCACTTGGAATGGAACTTTCTACAAACAAACTGAGGGCACCCCAATGGGCTCCCCCCTATCTCCGGTTATAGCTAACATTTTCATGGAGAAATTTGAGACTGACGCCATCCAGACTGCCAATCTGCGCCCAACCTTATGGAAGAGGTACATGGATGACACTTTTGTCATCTGGTCACATGGCCGGCCTGCTCTAGACCAATTCTTCGACCACATCAATTCCATACACCCAGCCATCAGATTTACCATGGAAGTCGAAAAAGATGGCAAGCTACCTGTTTTGGATGTCCTAATAAAAAAGAGACCTGATGGTTCAATGAGCCACTCTGTCTACAAGAAAGCTACCCATACGGATGCTTATCTGAAACCGGATTCCCACCACCATCCATCACAGAAGAATTATCTCATCAACACTCTGTACCATAGAGCCCAATGCATATCCGACCAAGAACACATAGGCAGTGAACTCAAGCACGTACACCAAGCTCTTAAGGCTAATGGTTACTCCGACTATACAATCCGCAAAGCTATCACAAACCATGAAGAAAGACCCTCTTGAGGAGCTTTTCAAAACCATCACTTTACCCTACATTGCGGGGATCACAAAAAAGATCTCCAAAATCTTGAATAAACACAAGATCCAGGTCCGTTTCAACACATTACATAAAATCCGTGATCTGGTTCCATCTGTAAAATATGTGATTCCGGACATACAGTACCCTGGTGTCTACAAACTAAGTTGCCTCTGTGGTAGTAGTTACAATGGAGAAACCAAACGCCATGTCTCGGACCGCATTCGTGAACACAAAGCAGACCTTAAACACGGTAGGACCAACACCTCGGCCGTGGCAGATCATTGTTATAATTCAGTAGGCTCACATGACATTGACTTTTCCAAGACAGAGGTTCTTTGTAAGCCATCTGGCTACCATGAGAGATTCGTTCATGAGGCTATCCACATATACAAGCACAGAGGCAATTTCAACCGAGAAGATGGATTCTGGCTTAGCAATCATTGGAAATATTTGATTAACCATTTCAGGTGATGAAGGCTGCTTGTGTTGTGGCCGAAACGTCGTGAGAATATTATTGTGTTATTTTATTTTATCAATTTATTATTTTATTCTCATTCTACGTGACTTTACCGAAAGAACCAAAGAAGAACATTTCAGGTCTTAATTGATTGTTCACGCTTACAGTGGCTTTCAGACAGCATACATTAATTTTTGGTCTCCCCCCTCCTCTTTTCAGAACATAGATGGACTAGTTCTTCTAAATAAACTGTCAAATCGCTGCGCGTGGCGCTGACGTTATTTTATAAAGAAATACACTGTTTAAAAATACATAAATTAATGCAAACCGACACACCTGATGACTACCGTTTGTGTTATGGTCGAAACGTCGTGATAATTTTTATTGTTTTATATATATTATTTTATTGTTTCCCTTCAACGTGACTTTACCTAAAGAGCTAAGAATATGAATTACTGCAGTCACGAAAGCTTTAAATCAAAATTTTAATTTTGTCCTAATTAAAAGGCAGTTTATTTTCGGGACAGGAGATTGAAATGTAAAGGCCATTTGGTTAGCCCTTTGCATTATTCGTGCAGGTTTTAGTTTTTTTAACACAAATTATACACACCATGCAGGTTGGCTATATACGGTGCCAAAAAAAGTTCAAAATACATACACACATACATACAGAAAGACAACAATACAAGGCGAGATGAATGTGCGCAGTAGTTGTACAGTACTGTACACGTAGTGTCCATGTGCAGTATTTGTACACTACTACAGGAGCAGAAACATTTAGGCTGGCCTGCATATGAACCCTCCTTGGTTTTTACCAGGTTGGATTGTAAAAGGAGCTCACACATCCTTGAAATATCTGAACAAAATCTCATTGTTAAGCTCATCTGGCAAGTAAGGCTGCATTTCCTGGGTCATGTACAGTAGCCTGCATGCCCAGCCATCACATTCCTAAAATATTTTGTTCAGCCGGATAGAGGGGGCCAAACGGGTGCAGCACAGGCTAGAAAAGAGATGGAGTGATGTGGTAGGAGTGGATGTGGAGCTGAGTGGACTTGCCGATGACTGGTACCAGCGGTGTCAAGATCGTCCTCTCTGGAGGAGGCTCACGAAGGATGCTACTGTGCAGTTGGAGGCAGTCGCCCTCCAGCAACAATGGAGGGAGAGGAGGGATGCTGACACCAATGAGCGGAGGGCCGGGTGGCTAAAACACAGCAAGTTGGCACAGTAGGGGGCTCAGGTGGTGCATCGGCCAGTCATCTCAGTTAGTCAATTCATGGCACCTGGGTCTCTCCCGTGACTTCCTGCCAGCGGGCGTTCAACACTTCACGTGGCCTTAAAGTGCACTTGGCCTGGCAAGAGTGCCATATTGACATCACCACCACCTAGTAGCGAATGGCAGTTGTTGTATATGTTCAAGCATGTGTTGTTGTATATATACATGTAAACGTGTGTACATATAAATACAACGGAGCCGCACGACTTACGACTCGGGCGCGTAGCAGACCCCGCGGCCACTGCAGTTGTTGACGGTGCCGCACGAGACCTCGGTGCACGCTGCTCCCGTCCAGCCCTCATCACACGAGCACCAGTTGGGCCCCACGCAGTGGCCCCGTCGGTTGCACTGCTGCACATTGTCGCAGACAAACTTCTCGCACGCAGCCCCAGCGTGGCCAGGATAGCACCTGCCGAGAGGGTAGGGGAGGTAGGGGTGGTTGGTGGTCGGGGGTAGGGTGGTGACATCATTAATCGGACAAAAATTGATGACGAATGTGTACGTCATCGGGTTTTCCTTCTAATTCCATTCCGATGACATAATGTGCATACGTCATCAAAACGAAACCGAAAATACAAACTAAAATCGATAGCAAGACTCCCACCCTCAAGGCGGTGCAGGAGAGGAATGTGGTACAGTTTTGGCACCGGCTATCGTAATGTGGCAGTGGTCGTGTCACTATGCTTCTTTGCGATTAGTACAGTACATCGTCCTTATAAAAACAACTACCACGTCTCTCTACATAAAAATAACGCTGAGAACCACTTTCGTGTTCCGAGATTTGGCGGTGAATGGGACACCCACCCACCACCCTGCGACTTGCAGACGTCATCGGGCACGGGACAAGGGGTTAAAAATTGATGTAATTACACATGGCTACCTGCTTCACTCCCTCTACCGGTCTACCTCCTGAAAGCTACCACATCCCCCCTTTGCAAATCAGCAAGCGGGCACATGCTATATCCGGCTCCGTGTCATGTGTTGCACTCACGCAGAGCTCCGATAATTTTAATCCGAGTTAATCCTCAGTTGTAGCGAAAGCGTGTTCGCACATAATATTATAACTGCACAATAGATATGCGACACGCTAAAGACCATGCGAGTGGCCATTGATTTTTTTGTGATGAGTGACGGCATTTCGACATTGCGCACAATAGCAATCAATTCACAACACGAGGTGTTGGTGATACATATCTCTGGAATTATATCAACCCCTGTTCGATTATTGCTAGAATCCTTCTAATTTGGTGCATGTACAAAAATGGGGGTGTCACCGCTACTAAACTCCTTCCTCACCCCCCCGCTCCAGGGAGCTCTCTGTGCATGAAGTGTGGGTGGTTGAGTGCGCGTGGGCAAAAACAAGGGAGTCTATAGAGGGGACGGTATCACAAGGGGTGACTGATTGAGCCACCCAACTCGATGTGAGCCGCTGCCATGGTCTCGACAAGACTTCTTGCCAGAAGTGCCAAGACGCGGCGATGATGATTACGTGAGCTCGTAATGGCTATGAGGATTTGATACTCGAGTTGTCATTTGTATAGCAGCAGCCAAATAATCTAAATAATCTCAACACGTGTTTATAAATATGGAGGAAAAAACCGGAGGACCTGGAGAAAAAAGTCCACGCGACCATGGGGAGAGAGATACGCAAAACTTCAAATACAGTATACAGCAGGCGTCAGGGTCGGGATCAAAATCACGACCTCCTACATACCAGGCGAGGGAGATAACATCTTTCAGCCTCCGTGCCACCACCGCTATCCATTAAAATATGTGGATTTCGACATCTTAAATGTTACCACCCGATCTCATGGTGGCTGAAAAAAAGCAGTGGGGGCACGTTCATTTTGCAAAGACAGCGGCGCCATTACCTGCAGTGGTTTTGCCAGGTGCAGGCGCCATTACCGCTGCAGTTGTTGACACCTTCACAGCTGAAGTTGAGGTCCTTTAAAAATGGCTTCCACCGAACATACTCGGGGTTTTTGATCCGAGCCACCACATCCACCTCGCGTATCACTGACCAGGAGTTCTCTGTGGCATTCAACTGATGTCCCGGATCGCTCAAAGACACCCATAGGTCATAGTCCGCACTCTCTACGTTATTGAATATGTTACGTTCGACTCCAAGCAATGCATTTTGCACCTGTAAAAGAAAGATCAATATTGAACAAGGCAAATCTTTGCACATTGATACATAACATACGTACTTTTTTTTCCCTTGACATACAGATGAGAGGCATTCACATCAATGAAGACGTAGATTCGAGAAGATACGCAGATTAAATATATTCTGATTGGCTGTTCATAGGACGGGTCTGCGAGGCACTTGCTGAGATGTTTGGGCCCAACCTGTGACCTGCCTATTGCCGCGGCGCGATGGTTAGCAGCGCACTGGAACTTTGAATTCAGAGAGGTCACTGGGCATGCGTTTACATCTTCTAGACCCAGCAGATGAAACAATGGGCACGGTCTTTAATTATTATTATTTTTATCCACCCACTCTGTACACCCACAGCAGTATATTATAAATAGGTACACACCACAATCGGTCGATTGGCAGGTCGCCTGAGGTGGGGGTAAACTCGTGGGATACTGTCAACTTGTCCAAGATATCTAGCCAGTCTGGAAGAGTAGGCCAAAATTACCATCTAGATCACGGAGGTTCTCTAGATCAGCAGTTCCCAACCTTTTTGAGTGGGGCAGACACCCCTGACTGGAAGCAGTGATAAAAAAGAGAGCTTAATGGCTCATCGGATTTCTCCGGCAGTCTAAATAAAGATTCTCGTTATTATCAACCTCTAAATATTCCGCGGAACCACCACACGCTGCTGCCAGTTGTTTGAAATTGTACATTCACCTTTGTTAGGATGTTATTATATATTTGTTTTATTCTCCACGGACTCCCTGTAGAAGTAGTAGTGGTACAGTAAAACCCCTCTTAATGAAGGTTACGGTAATTGGTCCCACGAAACCGGTCGTTAAGTAATTTGGTCGTTAAGCGAGTATATTAATTACATGTTAAAGCCTTAATTTAATCCAATCATAGAAGTTACCATTTTTCACCAAAAAAACGTACTTTCTAACATTTAAATAATAGGTATGTATATGTAGTGAGTTCAATTTATTCGCAGACGTACTCTTGGAGGCAACACATTTATTTAACACCAACACACGGGGTAACTGCCCCTTAACAGAATAACAACCTATGGTGGAGGACCACCAGGCTAACTACACTAATTACAACGTAACTAGCTACAACGGACTGGCCCACAGCTCGGGTCCAGGTCCATGTGTTGGAAACTCGGTAGAACATAGGATGTAGACGAAGGTTTCTTCAAGATGAACAACAACGCCAGTCCTTCTGGGGGACCTGGCTTATATTCTCTGTGGCGTGGCTGGCTCCACCCTTGGTCAAGGCCACCTTCCAGAATCCTCGAGCAGGATCTGGACCCGGACCACGTGACCACCCCTAGCCCCCACTTGGGACCCCTTTGTAGACTTAATCAGTCACGTGTCCTCTCGGGTCAACCAGAGTGCCATGGCCTTTAGTAACCCCGGCACTCCCACACCCTATCCTGTAGGGCTGGCACTGCATGCCAAGCGTGGTGCCACCTAGCGCTATTAACCAGTGCACGCCGTGCCTCTCTAGGGCCGGCACAGCAAAGTGACATCCCGCGATGTCACTACATATACATAAAGATACTCACAACATTATAAATACATTCTATTAAAAGAAACATGCAATATCAAAGCATTAATTCATGTTTACTGTACCTATAACAGCCCGTCGTTAATAGGGGAATGGTCAGTAAGTGAACACATTAGGCTCTATGGAGACCCGTTGTTAAGCGATTAGTCTTTCACAGGGGTGGTCGTTAAGAGGGGTTCTACTATATACTACTATACACTACAATATACATTACACTATACACTACTATACACGACACTATACACTACACATTGGGCTCTACCGAGGTCCGTCGTTAAGCGATTAGTCGTTAACAGGGGTGATCCATTCTCCTGCTAACGACGGGCTGTTTTAGGTACAGTAACAAATAATGAATGCATTGATTAACCATTATTCTTTTAACATTATGTGTATATAATGTTGTTAGTATCTTTATGCATTCATATACATTGTTTAAATATTATAGAGTACGTTTTTTGTGTGAAAAAGGGTAACTTTCGATGATATCAGAACGAATTAAGCCTTTCACGTGTATTTCTGATACTCCATTAACGACCAAATCACTTAACCACAACAATCAGCAGTTCTAAAGAAGTGAGTTTCTAAATACAGACGATGATGTTAAAGTGCATCATAGCTCCCAGTGGCTTTCTAATATCGGAAGGGAAGAGCATTCCAGACGGCCGCAGAAGCAGCAGCAGCAGCATCTGAAAGCGTCGTGCGATGATGCGGTGTCCGTCAACATATAACCGAATGTTATTGTGACAACCGGAACGGTGACGGCTACACTTCTAAAGTGTTCAATTAGGCCACTTCACCTTCAAGATAAAAATATCATCGACCAATAATAACTAACATATGAATCGTACCTTTACAACGGCTCCAGTGCGTGGACACACGTTCTGTTGAAAATTGTTGTTGGTAACTCCCTGCCCTGACCCAACGGTACACAATCCATAGATGCAAGTAATGGACACAATGGATGTCCCCGTGTTGTTTTGAAACTCATTTCCAGACAGGCTGAAGGCAATGTCCTCGGCTATATAAACGACGCTTATGGTGACAAGCGATTTTAAAGAACTAGAATCTATTACGTTGGATGTGAATACATTGTCGACCAAATAGAGGTCACGCTGTATGTAATAGGAATTAAAGTAGACCGCTTCTCTTCCCGTGTTCGACTCAAAGTTGCTGTTCGTGACTCTGGCTGTTGCGCAGTATTCAAAGTAGATTCCTCCAGCGCTGAAACAAAATGCAGCCATGTAGCTTCAATACGTGACAATTATGTTCCCCCCCCCCCCCCCGCAAAACAGCACAAGTAATTAAAGGTACATAAACATTTCTCCAGTTGGTGATTATTGTAATGTCAGTGTTTCTTGACTCTGTAATTGTAAATCAGATTTTATCGATGAACTTGCAGTGCAAATAAACAATTCAACTACACTCAGCTCAACATCCACCCACTTCACCCACTCACTCACCCAGCCACCCACTCATCCACTCAGCAGCTCACTCACCCATCCACTCACCCGCTCACTCACTCACCCACTCACCGACTCACCAGCTTCCCCACACACGCACCCACCCACCAACTCCCCACACACGCACTCACCCATCCACTCACCCACCCACCACCCACTCAATCACCCACCGAACACCCACTCAGTCACCCACCCACACATTCACCCACCCACCAACTTCCCTACACACGTACCCACCCATCCACTCACCCACACACCACCCACCCACCACCCACTCACTCACCCACCCGCCATGCTCACGCTCTCTCATGCGAGAATTGTGGTAACACATTTTTCTGTGGTAGCAGTGTTGATAACCACCACCTTCAGAATCAGAATCTGTATTTATCCTGCAGGAGCTCTTTTCTCACAGATGTCCAGTTAGGGGCATGGGATCAGAACTTTATTACACATGATAGCAGCTCAACGAAGTGGCATATCATCATCACGTGGAAATGAGAGGGCCTGCTGTTCAGCACACCTGTGCTGGTGAGAGAGGCCTGCTGTTGAGGGGCCTGCTGTTCAGCACACCCGTGCTGGTGAGAGAGGCCTGCTGTTCAGCACACCCGTGTTGAGGGGCCTGCTGTTCAGCACACCCGTGCTGGTGAGAGGGGCCTGCTGTTGAGGGGCCTGCTGTTCAGCACAGCCGTGCTGGTGAGAGAGGCCTGCTGTTGAGGGGCCTGCTGTTCAGCACACCCGTGCTGGTGAGAGGGCCTGCTGTTCATTACACCCGTGTTGGTGAGAGGGGCCTGCTGTTCAACACACCCGTGCTGGTGAGAGGGGCCTGCTGTTCAGCACACCCGTGCAGGTGAGAGAGGCCTACTGTTCATAACACCCGTGCTGGTGAGAGGGGCCTGCTGTTCATCACACCCGTGTTGGTGAGAGGGGCCTGCTGTCCAGCACACCCGTGCTGGTGAGAGGGGCCTGCTGTTCAACACACCCGTGCTGGTGAGAGAGGCCTACTGTTCATCACACCCGTGCTGGTGAGAGGGGCCTGCTGTTCAACACACCCGTGCTGGTGAGAGAGGCCTACTGTTCATCACACCCGTGCTGGTGAGAGGGGCCTACTGTTCATCACACCAGTACTGGTGAGCGAGTCCTGCTGTTCAGCACACCCGTGCTGGTGAGAAGATGGCGCCGATGATGGTAGCCTCAGCCGGTCGGTGCGCCCCGTTTTGTCTTGTTTTGTCTGTCAATTCAGTGTTTTGCCAAGATTTTCGGAGTTCTCTAACAAGAGACGAACTTTTAAATATCAGAGAAACAAGGGGTAAACAGTCGGGGGCTCTAGTACGGCTACGCAGACGCGGGATCCGAACAGTGCTTCCGAGCTTTTTCCTCTCCAACGTACGTTCACTGTACAACAAAATGGATGAACTTCAGCTACTGATGGTAAAAAAACAAGTTCTTTCTTTCATCTTCTGTTTTGTGCTTCACGGAGACATGGCTGTGTGATTTGATTCCGGACACTTCGCTACAACTAGCAGGATTCCATCTTGTAAGATCGGATCATGACATAGCACTCTCCGGCAAGACGAAAGGCGGTGGTATTTGTTTTTACATTAACAGTGGCTGGTGTGTAGATATCACAGTGATTCTGCAACATTGTTCTCCACTCCTTGAATCAATTTTTATAACCTGTAAACCGTTTTACTTGCCTCGCGAGTTCGCGTCGCTCATTTTGGTCGGAGTTTATTTGCCGCCTTGTCCTCAGGTTAAAGAGGCCCAACGCATGCTCGCCGATCAGATTCTGAGTGGAGCGAGCAAATCCTGATTCGTTGGTTATCGTACTTGGCGACATTAACAAAGGTAATCTCAGCCTCGAACTCCCCAAATCCATACAATTCATTAAATGCCCAGCCAGAGAAGGGAACACTCTGGATCACTGCTACACTACAGTCAGTAGAGCCTACCACGCCGTCCCCCGAGCAGCACTAGGACACTCTGACCATGCCATGGTCCACCTGATTCCTGCACACAGGCAGAAACTAAAAACTCTGTAAACCTGCTGTGAGGACATCTAAACAGTGGACCAGTGAGGCTGTGGAAGATTTGCGGGCGTGCTTAGACTGTCAGTTTAACACGTAGGCTTTCGCGACCAATATTATTCATAATAAAGGTTTTTGGGTTAGATCGCGTTTATTTATAAATGTGTCGTAACCCTCCACCACCCGACACGGCCAATCAGCAAAGAAAAGTGTCACGTTGACAAAAGACAAATAATTCACTTAGACTGTACTGACTGGGATATGTTCACGACTGCTACCAATAGTCTGGATGAACTCACAGAGGCTGTAACGTCCTACATCAGCTTCTGTGAGGACTGCTGTATCCCAACACGTACCAGCGTGAACTTTAACAACAACAAGCCCTGGTTCTCAGCAAAGCTCAGAAGGTTGAGGTTGGAGAAGGAGGAAGCGTTTAGGAGTGGGGATAGAGACAGATTCAAGGAGTTGAATAACAGGTTTAGCAAAGCAGTGAGAGAGGCTAAACGACTGTACTCAGAGAGACTAAAACACCAGTTCTCTACTAACGACGCTGCTTCTGTCTGGAGAGGGCTCAGGCAGATCACCAACTACAAACCCAGAGCCCCCCACACCACTAACGACTCCCGCCTAGCCAACGACCTGAACGAGTTCTACTGTAGATTTGAAAGACAATTGGACTGTCCTGAACCACCCCTTCCCACCCAAGAGGCCCCATCCCCCACCCATACTACAGAGACGACTCTCTCCTTTCAGGAGGGAGAAGTTAATAGACTTTTCAAGAGGCAGAATCCACGCAAAGCAGCCGGGCCGGACTCTGTCTCTCCAGCCACCCTCAGGCACTGCGCTGACCAGCTGTCTCTGGTGTTCACCAACATCTTTAACACCTCCCTGGAGACATGCCATGTACGAGCCTGTCTCAAGTCCTCCACCATCATCCCTGTGCCCAAAAAGCTAAGGCCAACAGGACTAAATGATTACAGACCGGTCGCCCTTACATCTGTGGTAATGAAGTCTTTTGAGTGCCTGGTCCTGGCACACCTCAAAGCCATCACAGACCCTCTCCTGGACCCCCTTCAGTTTTCCTACAGAGCCAACAGGTCTGTGGACGACGCAGTTAACATGGCCCTCCACTTCACCCTACAGTATCTGGACGCCCCAGCATCCTACGCCAGGATCCTGTTTGTGGACTTCAGCTCTGCCTTCAACACCATCATCCCTGCCCTGCTTCAGGACAAGCTCTTCCAGCTGAACGTGCCCTACTCCACCTGCAGGTGGATCACAGACTTCCTGTCTGACAGGAAGCAGTGCGTTAAGCTGGGAACACAAGTCTCTGACTCCAGGTCCATCAGCACCGGAACTCCTCAGGGCTGCGTCCTTTCCCCACTGCTCTTCTCCCTGTATACCAACAGCTGCACCTCCAATCATCTGTCCGTCAAACTCTTGAAGTTTGCGGACGACACCACCCTCATTGGGCTGATCTCTGGTGGGGATGAGTCTGACTATAGGTGGGAAGCTGACAACCTGGTGACCTGGTATAGCCAGAACAACTTAGAGCTAAATGCTCTAAAGACAGTTGAGATGGTTGTGGACTTCAGGAAGAATACAGCCCCACTCACCCCCATCACCCTGTTAGACTCCCAATCAAAATTGTAGAGTCCTTCCACTTCCTGGGCACTATTCTCTCCCGGGACCTCAAGTGGGAACTGAACATCAGCTCCCTCACCAAGAGAGCTCAACAGAGGATGTACTTTCTACGGCAGCTGAAGAAATTCAACCTGCCAAAGACAATGATGGTGCAATTCTATATAGCGATCATTGAATCCATCCTCACCTCCTCCATAACCGTCTGGTACACTGCTGCCACTGCCAAGGACAAGAGCAGACTGCAGCGTATCATCCACACTGCTGAGAAGGTAATTGCCTGCAATCTACCAACCCTCGAGGACCTGCACACGACAAGGACCGTGAGGCGAGCGAGGAAGATTATGGCCAATTCCTCCCACCCTGGACACTCTCTGTTTCAGCTACTCCCCTCCGGCAGAAGGCTTCGGTCCATCAGGACCAAAACCTCACGCCATAAAAACAGTTTCTTTCCATCTGCTGCTGGCCTGTTAAACAAGGCCAAGGGCTTAGACTGATTTTAACATTTTATCTACATAATGACACCTTAACTATGTTAACCTATTTGTATTTTTTATTTTTCAATTATATCTTAAAGCTATTTTATATTCGATATTTATTCAATTTTATATACTTCAGCCCCTTGGTGTTAGTTAGACTTTTAACCCTTATTATTATAGTAAGACTTGTTTAAAACTTACTTAAGATTTTAGTTTCCTATATGTTGAATGTATGCACCATCCTGCCAAAGTAAATTCCGTGTCGGTGTGAACTTTCATGGCGAATAAAACCCAATCTGATAAAATTTATATCAGCAGCCAAATAATCGAATTCATATTAAATATATATTAAAAATACAATATTTATTTCCCCTCTCCCCTTACTCATTGGCACAGATCTATATCTCGTGCATGTTTCACCCAGTCCCCTTTTGCCTTTCTTCCTCGGGCGCCTTTGGTTAGTAATCATGTTCCTGGGCATGGTCCGTTGTGCCGTGCGTGTACCCCCTACGTCTAAACCCCCTTACCGTGCCCTCCGCGTGATCCCTCACGTTGGTGTGACAGCCGCCAAAAACTGATTTTATCAGGTGACAAGAGAGAAGCATTTCATCGGTACC